CCTTAACTAACACAGCACCTTAACTAACACCGCCCCTTAACTAACACAGCACCTTAACTAACACCACACCTTAACTAACACAGCACCTTAACTAACACCGCTCCTTAACTAACACCGCCCCTTAACTAACACAGCACCTTAACTAACACCGCCCCTTAACTAACACAGCACCTTAACTAACACAGCACCTTAACTAACACCGCCCCTTAACTAACACAGCACCTTAACTAACACCACACCTTAACTAACACAGCACCTTAACTAACACAGCACCTTAACTAACACCACACCTTAACTAACACCGCCCCTTAACTAACACAGCACCTTAACTAACACAGCACCTTAACTAACACCGCCCCTTAACTAACACAGCACCTTAACTAACACAGCACCTTAACTAACACAGCACCTTAACTAACACCGCCCCTTAACTAACACAGCACCTTAACTAACACAGCCCCTTAACTAACACAGCACCTTAACTAACACAGCACCTTAACTAACACCGCCCCTTAACTAACACAGCACCTTAACTAACACAGCACCTTAACTAACACCGCCCCTCTTAACTAACACAGCACCTTAACTAACACAGCACCTTAACTAACACCGCCCCTTAACTAACACAGCACCTTAACTAACACCGCACCTTAACTAACACAGCACCTTAACTAACACCGCACCTTAACTAACACCGCCCCTTAACTAACACAGCACCTTAACTAACACCGCCCCTTAACTAACACAGCACCTTAACTAACACAGCACCTTAACTAACACCGCCCCTTAACTAACACAGCACCTTAACTAACACAGCACCTTAACTAACACAGCACCTTAACTAACACAGCACCTTAACTAACACCACACCTTAACTAACACCGCCCCTTAACTAACACAGCACCTTAACTAACACAGCACCTTAACTAACACCGCCCCTTAACTAACACAGCACCTTAACTAACACCGCACCTTAACTAACACCGCCCCTTAACTAACACAGCACCTTAACTAACACAGCACCTTAACTAACACCGCACCTTAACTAACACAGCACCTTAACTAACACAGCACCTTAACTAACACAGCACCTTAACTAACACCGCACCTTAACTAACACCGCACCTTAACTAACACCGCACCTTAACTAACACCGCACCTTAACTAACACCGCACCTTAACTAACACCGCACCTTAACTAACACCGCCCCTTAACTAACACAGCACCTTAACTAACACAGCACCTTAACTAACACAGCACCTTAACTAACACCGCACCTTAACTAACACCACACCTTAACTAACACCACACCTTAACTAACACCACACCTTAACTAACACCGCCCCTTAACTAACACAGCACCTTAACTAACACCGCCCCTTAACTAACACAGCACCTTAACTAACACAGCACCTTAACTAACACCACACCTTAACTAACACCGCACCTTAACTAACACAGCACCTTAACTAACACAGCACCTTAACTAACACCGCACCTTAACTAACACCGCCCCTTAACTAACACAGCACCTTAACTAACACAGCACCTTAACTAACACCGCACCTTAACTAACACAGCACCTTAACTAACACAGCACCTTAACTAACACAGCACCTTAACTAACACCGCACCTTAACTAACACCGCACCTTAACTAACACCGCACCTTAACTAACACCGCACCTTAACTAACACCGCACCTTAACTAACACCGCACCTTAACTAACACCGCCCCTTAACTAACACAGCACCTTAACTAACACAGCACCTTAACTAACACAGCACCTTAACTAACACCGCACCTTAACTAACACCACACCTTAACTAACACCACACCTTAACTAACACCACACCTTAACTAACACCGCCCCTTAACTAACACAGCACCTTAACTAACACCGCCCCTTAACTAACACAGCACCTTAACTAACACAGCACCTTAACTAACACCACACCTTAACTAACACCGCACCTTAACTAACACAGCACCTTAACTAACACAGCACCTTAACTAACACCACACCTTAACTAACACCACACCTTAACTAACACCGCCCCTTAACTAACACAGCACCTTAACTAACACCGCCCCTTAACTAACACAGCACCTTAACTAACACAGCACCTTAACTAACACCACACCTTAACTAACACCGCACCTTAACTAACACAGCACCTTAACTAACACAGCACCTTAACTAACACCACACCTTAACTAACACCACACCTTAACTAACACCACACCTTAACTAACACCGCCCCTTAACTAACACAGCACCTTAACTAACACCGCCCCTTAACTAACACAGCACCTTAACTAACACAGCACCTTAACTAACACCACACCTTAACTAACACCGCACCTTAACTAACACAGCACCTTAACTAACACCACACCTTAACTAACACAGCACCTTAACTAACACCGCCCCTTAACTAACACCGCACCTTAACTAACACCGCCCCTTAACTAACACCACACCTTAACTAACACCACACCTTAACTAACACCACACCTTAACTAACACCGCCCCTTAACTAACACAGCACCTTAACTAACACCGCCCCTTAACTAACACCGCCCCTTAACTAACACCGCACCTTAACTAACACCGCACCTTAACTAACACCGCCCCTTAACTAACACCGCCCCTTAACTAACACCGCACCTTAACTAACACCGCCCCTTAACTAACACCGCCCCTTAACTAACATCGCACCTTAACTAACACCGCCCCTTAACTAACACAGCACCTTAACTAACACCGCCCCTTAACTAACACCGCACCTTAACTAACACCGGCCCCTTAACTAACACCGCACCTTAACTAACACCGCACCTTAACTAACACCGCACCTTAACTGGCACCACCCCCTGAGCTGCATTAGTGTTCGTTCGCTTCACGATTCTACACGAAACGTTCCGGTTGAGGATGATTTCATTGAGCCCGGGTAGAAATCAAGAGACCTTGATAGAGTCTCATTTGCAAGAGTGAGCCGGGTCACCAGTACGAAAAATTCCAGAGCATAAAAATAAAGTACAACAAAAATGAAGCAAATATCCATAATATAGGGTTTTTTTTTCTTAGGTTAGATCGTGTAAATATAAATGTGTCGTTAAACCCGCCGCCACCCGACACAGCCAATCAGTACGATTTGTCGCGTAAACCAAATTCGTTACTAGCTCAGCACACCGATGTGTTGGAGAGTAAACCCACAACATCTTAAATTGTGGCTTTACTCTCCACGGCCCAAAGTTGGCCACTTTACACCCAAATTATTTGGCAATAAGCTCCACGCACGCAACATTGCCCGCTGCCAGGGGATAGACTGATGCTGCATACTTGCAGGCCGGCGCTGCATACACCTTGAGCCGCACAGGAATAGCTGCCACGGTGTGGGGGGGTCCCCGGGTCCCCTGCCACAGAACACCTCTCGTCGAGCGGCTTGGTGTGGCGTGTGCGTCTCTCTGTCTCGCTGTCTCTCTGTCTCGCTGTCTCTCTGTCTCGCTGTCTCTCTGTCTCTCTGTCTCGCTGTCTCTCTGTCTCTCTGTCTTGCTGTCTCTCTGTCTCGCTCTCTCTGTCTCTCTGTCTCGCTGTCTCTCTGTCTCGCTGTCTCTCTGTCTCTCTGTCTTGCTGTCTCGCTGTCTTGCTATCTCTCTGTCTCGCTGTCTCTCTGTCTTGCTGTCTCTCTGTCTCGCTCTCTCTGTCTCGCTCTCTCTGTCTCTCTGTCTCGCTGTCTCTCTGTCTCGCTGTCTTGCTATCTCTCTGTCTCGCTGTCTCTCTGTCTCGCTGTCTCGCTGTCTCTCTGTCTTGCTGTCTCTCTGTCTCTCTGTTGCGCTGTCTCTCTGTCTCGCTATCTCGCTGTCTCTCTGTCTTGCTGTCTCTCTGTCTCGCTGTCTCTCTGTCTCGCTGTCTCTCTGTCTCTCTGTCTTGCTGTCTCTCTGTCTCGCTGTCTCGCTGTCTCTCTGTCTCGCTGTCTCTCTGTCTCGCTGTCTCTCTGTCTTGCTGTCTCTCTGTCTCGCTGTCTCTCTGTCTCGCTGTCTCTCTGTCTCGCTGTCTCGCTGTCTCGTTGTCTCTCTGTCTCTCTGTCTCTCTGTCTCTTTATCTCGCTGTCTCGCTGTCTCTCTGTCTCGCTGTCTCTCTGTCTCTCTGTCTTGCTGTCTTTCTGTCTCGCTGTCTCTCTGTCTCTCTGTCTCGCTGTCTCGCTGTCTCTCTGTCTCTCTGTCTTGCTGTCTCTCTGTCTCGCTGTCTCTCTGTCTCGCTGTCTCTCTGTCTCTCTGTCTCTTTGTCTCGCTGTCTCTCTGTCTCTCTGTATCTCTGTCTCGCTGTCTCTCTGTCTCTCTGTCTCGCTGTCTCTCTGTCTCGCTGTCTCTCTGTCTCTCTGTCTCGCTGTCTCTCTGTCTCTCTGTCTCTCTATCTCTTTGTCTCGCTGTCTCTCTGTCTCTCTGTCTCGCTGTCTCTCTGTCTCGCTGTCTCGCTGTCTCTCTGTCTCGCTGTCTCTCTGTCTCTCTGTATCGCTGTATCGCTGTCTCTCTGTCTCGCTGTCTCTCTGTCTCGCTGTCTCTCTGTCTCTTTATCTCGCTGTCTCGCTGTCTCTCTGTCTCGCTGTCTCGCTGTCTCTCTGTCTTGCTGTCTTTCTGTCTCGCTGTCTCTCTGTCTCTCTGTCTCGCTGTCTCTCTGTCTCTTTGTCTCGCTGTCTCTCTGTCTCTCTGTATCTCTGTCTCGCTGTCTCTCTGTCTCTCTGTCTCGCTGTCTCTCTGTCTCTCTGTCTCGCTGTCTCTCTGTCTCGCTGTCTCGCTGTCTCGCTGTCTCTCTGTCTCGCTGTCTCGCTGTATCTCTGTCTCGCTGTATCGCTGTATCGCTGTCTCTCTGTCTCTCTGTCTCGCTGTCTCGCTGTCTCTCTGTCTCTCTGTCTCGCTGTCTCGCTGTCTCTCTGTCTCTTTGTCTCTCTGTCTCGCTGTATCGCTGTATCGCTGCGTGCTCGCGCGAGCGCAGAGTGCGAGGAGGGGAGGTTCGGCGAGGGCTGCCGGCGGCCGTGCAAGTGCGCCAACCGGGGCTCGTGCGACCGGCTCTCGGGGCAGTGCGTCTGCCCGGCGGGTTGGACGGGGCCCACGTGCGAGGAGAGTAGGTTCCACCCACCCACCAACTGACCCGCCCACCAACCCACCCACCAACCGACCCACCCACCCGCCCGCCCGCCCACCCACCAACCGACCAACCCACCCGCTCGCCCACCCGCCCACCAACTGACCCACCCACCTATACCCACCCACCAACCGACCCACCCACCCATACCCACCCAGCCATACCCACCCACACACCAACTGACCCACCCACCCATACCCACCCACACACCAACAACGGGGGGGCCAGCACAAACAAACAAAAATACCGCTGACGGCTACAAAGGGATCCATCGACAATTGGGATAGGGTAGAAGTTGGATATGAGTGCACATTTTGTGGAACTGCTTTTTGTGTGTTTAGTTTGTTGTCCTTCCCCCGCACCTCCCATTCGCACGGTTGGCTACGTACGGTGCGAAAGAAGTTCAACATACGTACGTACAAAAGCCCATTTTCGGATATATATTAACGCCATCCTTGCATGCCCTCTTCACCGAGTATTATTTTTTGTTTCCAAAAACGCACTGAGACGACTCGAAGTGCTTGCTCGCGCCGCTGCTGAACTCCAGAGGGATTTTGGCCTACTCTTCCGTGAGAGTATCCACGACCTTACCCCACCACACGCGGACCTGCCGATCGACTAATTGTGGTTCTTACGTGGACAGAGGTTGGGGGGGGGGGGGTGGGGGGGATTTAGGAAATTGTTAAATCCATCTAGCGCCCCCCATCACACCATGGCAGCATCCCTCCCCATACGCAATGCAAAAAACGATCAAAGCGATGTCACTGAAACTCCCTCGCACGCAGGAGGAAAGTGAGCAGCGTCAATGAAGGCTGCGGCGGTTTGTGCCCTCCCCGCGCGTGCGTGCACCGCAGCGTGCCCCGCGGGACAGCACGGCCTCCGCTGTGGGAGCCGCTGTGACTGCGAGAACGGCGCTTCGTGCCACGCCGAAACCGGAGCCTGCCGCTGCCACCCGGGCTGGCGCGGCAAGCGCTGCGACAAGCGTAAGCGGCACCACCCCCCCCCCTCCTCCGTTGACCCGCTCGCTCGCTCGCTCCTTCCCGTAATCTACAGGATTATAGGAAGGAGCGAGCTAGGTCCCCTCTATGAGCCACGAAAATGGTCTCGATCAGGTTAATGCAACATTTCTAATGATCGGAGGCTGAAAGAGGCTGGATTAAGTGAAACATCTGTTTAATCTCTTTGGGCACCAGCCATTTGGTGGCTGTGGCCAAAAGATCATCAACTCACTGCACTTGAGAATATGGTTTCAATATGTGTGGTCACCAACTTTTGAACCCGTGGGTCGAGAGGCTCAGTTGGCCGACAAAGTATTAGGCACCTGAGCGACTGGATCTTTGCTGAGGATTTTTTTTTTACTTCTATATCACCGGAGACCTGACGTTCATTTAGAAAATGAAACAACAACGCACCTAGTCAGAGCTCCCTCGTCTCTCTTATACCGTCTCTTGTGCATCATATTTCATTTTTATTTTAAATTAGATTTCGCTTCCCCCCTCCCCCTGCACACGTGGCTGGTAATCGTTTTGTTCGTGACTTCACGGTGCCTGTCGATCGTGCCCATGCAGCCTGTCTGCCGGGCCAGTTTGGAGCGGAGTGTGCGCAGCGGTGCACCTGCAGGCAAGGAGCTCCCTGCAACCACCTGACGGGGGAGTGCGGCTGTCCCCCGGGCTTCACCGGCAACGGCTGTGAGCTGAGTACGTGGTGTCCATCTACCCCAGCAGCAGTAGCAGCGAACGCTGTGGTCACTGATGACCAGTGCTGACATCGCAAACTCGATGCACTTTAGAACGTGCTTTAATCTCCAGTGGCTGCCTGGATTCCAACTCGGGATCTCGGATGTGTTGGCTCTTAAGCTGCAGTGTGTTTTCGGGGTTGTACCGCCATGTCGCCGGGCACGATGTCCGACGTTTTTTTCCCTACGTGCTGGGAGCCACTTCAGGAGCTGCGGTGTAAGAGACACAGTCTAGTTCCAGAGGACGCTTGCCGGCACGCGGAGCGGAAAGCCGGGTGTCGTGCCCAACAACACGCGGCACAACCGTGGAAAAAAAAAACACAACGGAGAATTGTACGAAGAAGTCACGACAACCTACTTTTTTTACTATATATTTGTTTTTACTTACCAGGTAAGGGCCACTGAGCTACGTAGCTCTTTTTCAGAAGCGACCTGGCTATCACAAACGATAGCTCAACGAAGTGGCTTATCATCGCGTGGAAATTTTAAAAAAAGTACTCTTAAGCGCGTGATCTTGATTCTAAATGTAAGGGGAAAAACCGCAGGACCCGGGGCAAAATCCACACAACCACGGAGAGAGACATGCAAACTCTAAGTATTCATGCGTCAGGGTCGAGATTGAACCCACGACTTCCTGTATACCAGGAGAGGTAGTTAACATCTCGCTACCATGTAACCTAGTGGCACAAGAATTACCAAGTACTAGCGTTTGCTCTCTGAATTACAAGGTTACTTCCTGGAAATGCATTATTAAAGCTCGTATTCACATGCTTAAGACATAAAGTAATGTATTGATTTCATGGGTGACTATTGAAATATATAGAGCAATCAGTGTACGTTTATATCATTTTAGTTCCACAGCCTGTGGGATCTTCTGGACTGTTTCCCAGCGTTACGTTTTGTAGCGGACATATTCTCCACCGAGTTCACATTTGCGGTGAAACGGACCCACGTGTAATTGTTTTAATTGCATTACCCACAATCCACCGTGGCAGTTCATAAAACATTGAGAAAACTACATTGAACATTTTTTATGTATTTGTTCGTTTAAGAAATTACACATTTCGTGTTGTTTGCAATTCGACCTGAAGGCTAAACTGGACATTTAATGATCATGAATTAACATGAGTATATATCGTTTACAAGTCTGTTATTGCTTTTTTTTAGCGTGGCTTCGACAAGCTGCTGCTGCTGCTGCTGACACGTTGCAGTGGTGAACGGTGGTGAACGGTGGTGAACGGTGGTGAACGGTGGTGAACGGTGGTGAACGGTGGTGAACGGTGGTGAACGGCCCACGTTTTAAACTCTTCGTTTGCCCCCATTTACAGCCTGCCTGCCTGGCACCTTTGGGCCGGACTGCAAGTGGGTTTGCCAGTGCCAGGCGCCCACACAGCAGTGTCACCCGGTCACGGGGCAGTGCCACTGTCTGCCCGGCCACCATGGACAGCGCTGCCACCTCGGTGAGTAGCTCACAAATGCGAGCGAGCGCCGCCGTCCTCGCTGATCCGCACCTCCGGTTGGCACGGTTGGCGACGCGCGGTGCGAAAGAAGTTCAACACGCACGCACGCACGTGCAGAGAGTCCACGAAGTTTGAGGGTCGCCACTCTTCTTTATTTTTCCGCGGGCTTGCGCTGTCCGCGTCCACCCTGTTCCGTTCCTCTCCCCGGAAGCGCCCCGATCGCGCGAGTATTCACGCCCTCGGATCGCGTAAGCATTAGCACTGCACGTACATAAACAATTGGCAAGGCCCACCAGGGTGGGCGTCTTCTCGTCACGCCTTGTTAGCTCCATTACCCGACACTCACACGTGTGTACGCGAGGAAAGGTACGCATATCGCATGCAGTGTATTCTGATGCAGCCCCGAATAATTGTTGGAAAGCGCTTGGATCACTGTTGCGTGCCGGGGACGGAGGGGGGGGGAGAATCGTTACACACTTACAGTTGAATATTCGTGGCTGTCTGTGGCTGCTTTATATGCATGGCAAGTGTTCGCGTGCGGCAAGGGCTATCCCGTCGTATTCCTGACAATTCCGCCTTTAAGCCCTCGCTCAAACGACGAAGCCTGCTCTCAACGGAAGCGTTCCACTTCTGCCCTCCCCCCTCCGCCCAGCCTGCCCCGCTGGCCGCTACGGCTCGGGCTGCAGGCAAACGTGCAAGTGCGCCAACGGGGGAAGCTGTGACACCACGTCGGGCTTTTGCGATTGCCAGCCGGGGTTCACCGGAGCCAACTGCAGCTTGCGTGAGTGTCAGCCCCCGAACGTTCACCGGAGCACCCCCGTCCCGTTCTCCGGCGCCTCGCTCCGGCTCCCAGCGTGATCCCGAATCAACTGCGAGATCGCGCTTCAAGTCCACCGTGTGCCGTATTTGGCGACCGCTTTTGTGTCCCTTCTGCGGCCGTCTGGAACGGTTCTTCCGTTCCCATATTAGGAAGCCACTGGAGCGATGCACTTTTAAATCGTCTAGGGTGAAAACTTATTTTTTGAAAAATGGTTCTTGTGTTTAGATTGTTGTCCTTCACCCCCGCACCACCGCTTAGCAAGATTGGCTACGTATGGTGTGAAAGAAGTTCAACATACATAGAATGTATAGCTCCTATTCCTTATTCCTATGTTTGTTACGCTTTCACCCGAATGTTGGAAGTGTTGTTGCATTAGCTTTGCTCCGTGGGTTCGCCTGTCCGTAACACACACGGCACGGTAGCTCTCATAAAGACTTAGCCTGAAAAAAAACCTGACCAAATTAATTAATAATTTGAATAATGATGAATGTTTTTACATTGCATCATTCGTGCAAACTGCATCTCATTATGGTGCACAATATGCAACACACGGAGATGCATGTATATATATCAAGATGTGTTCAGCCAATTAATAGTGTTTATAGATGTGGAGTCTATCCCATACAGATGGAACAGATGGAGTTTAGTCCACACTGTTTTTCGTACTACCTTCTGGCAAGCCAGGGTATAGGCACCTCGACTCCCCTACGGGAAGGGAGTTTCACAAAGCTTGTTGCGGCGGTGATCCACCAACCCACGCTGCTTCCTCCACGGTGCTGGATCACAGGCGACGTGCACAGCCACCACCGCCCGACAACCCACGGCCCTCCCCGGCAGAACCGCTACCCAAGCCCCCCTTGTCTCGTCGAGACCTGCGTGCCGCACGACCTGCCACGAGCGCGACCATTGTCATCATCATCATCATCGCCATCGGAAAATTTAACCTTTCCGAGAAATCAACGCAACGTTGGAGAGAGAGAGAGAGGGGGGGGGGGAGGGAGAGCTTCGCGGGAACCCGCGGGGTCACGTGACTTCTCTCGCCCGCTTCCCCCTGCCCTGCTGCAGCTTGCCCGGCCGGCCGCTACGGCAAGGACTGCGCGCTGGCGTGCGCGTGCGGAGGGGGCGGACAGTGCGACCGCGTCACGGGGAGCTGCAGCTGCCCGCCCGGGCTGGCGGGGCCCAACTGCGGTGAAGGTGAAGAAGGGGCACGGTGATACATCTCCGACGTGTGGTTCCGGGGAGGGGCAGGGGGGGGGGGTCGTACCTGCGCGTTTGTCCGGCATGACTGTCCGACGTTTCGCCCCACGCGCACGCCCCGCGAACGTCTTCGAGAAAACGAATTGATTAGCCCCCCTCAGGTTCCTGGCCCGTGGAGCGAAATGTCGGCTGTAGCGGTCACGCGTCAGTTCGGCTGTCCGTAACACACAGGGCACGGTACCTATCGTATAAAGACTTACGCTGCAAAAACCTGGCCAAATTAATTAATTATATATTGCCGGTGTGTTTTTTTTTTAATATTGTGACGTTCGTGCAAACTGCATCTCATAACGCCGCACAATCTGCACCGGGAACTCCACGTATATAATATATACGAATTTGTATTTCAGCTAATAAAGTAGTTTATACGTGTGGAAGGAAACTGGAGCACTCGGAGTTGTGTATACAACACATGCACAACTCCCAAACGCGTCGATTCCAACAGGCGCGATTCGATGCGGTAACCCACGATCTTCGGGAAGCAACATCAGTGTCTGAATCGATGCACCGGTGCTTCCCCGCCGCGCCACTGAGCGCGCACTTCGTTCGCGGGTGCCGTTAGATATCACAGCCGCCGTAATTTTTCGTTAATATTCATATGCATATATATAGATTTTTTTTTGTTATCCTTCCTTTTCTCTCCTCGGCTACCGCAGACTGCCCCGGCGGACGGTTCGGCGCGAGGTGCGGCGGCCGGTGCCAGTGCAAGAACTCGGGCTTCTGCGACGCGCGCAACGGCACCTGCGCGTGCGGCCTGGGCTGGACGGGCGTGCACTGCGAGAGAGGTCGCCGCTCGCTCGGGGGAGGAGGGGGGAGGGCGGCGGCGGCGGCGTGGCCGCGCCGGAGAGCGTTTGCCCGCACAGGCTCGTCCGCTCTCGCACAAAGGCCGCCACGGATATAACGCGGAATCGGAATATTTATTTCATACCGGAGAAATTCGATGAGCTGTGAGGCTCTTTTTTTTTCTTCTTCAAAGATGCCCAGCCAATGCTGCGGGCGGATTGGCGATAGGCCACTTTGCCCTGTTGGCTTCGCGGCGGACGCAAAAGATCCCTCGACGCTATTCGACAGAGAGTAGTCCAGATGGCGCCAAAAGGCCTTTTGGCGCCATCTGGTCGAGCACCAATTGGGTCGAGGCTCAAAAGAAAGCCGTCCCTTGGTGTGGACCAATCAGTTTCAAGGGCAATGCATATATTATCATAGTATGTTTTTTGTTTGCATTTTGACTGCAGGTATGGTGGTTAATGCAGTAACATGAATCCTCGTTAAAAAAAGGTTTCAGTTTTGTTGCCAGAAAAAAGGGGAAAAACCCTATTATTACATTTTGGGACTGGCAAAGGAGGTCTAATGATGAAAGAGAGTAGTCCATGTGTGCCGGTGCCAAGGTCCAAATTTTTCTAAATTTTAAAAATTAAACTCCAAGTGGCGGACTATACTCATTTACAATACACAGCGCCTTTGTGATGGCCTTGCGCCATAAGAAACACGAGAATACAAAATCTACCAACTTATTTCGGTTATCATTGTTGTTATATTTCCGTGCTGAAAGATGTATTTTGTGTTTGTGCGCCGCTGCCGACGCAGTGCCTTAACATTTTGGTTTGACTTCCGAAGTCTTTCATGTCCCAGCGTGGATGTTCAATAGAGAATCGTCGTGCGCTTTGGGCGCCAGCTGCAGCGGCTGTGTTTTCGGCTTTCTGTCTATCGGTTACAGAGTGTCCGGCGGGCAAGTATGGGGTCGGCTGCCGGCAGGACTGCCTCTGTGAGCACAACGGCACGTGCGACTCTGTGTCGGGGGCTTGTCGCTGCACGGACGGATACTACGGCCCGCGTTGCGAGCACGGTGAGAGAGCTGGCAGTCCGGGTGTTTTCGTTTTCAGCCTGTGGACTCCTTTGCCGATGTGCGACGCGGGAGCGGGCCTCCGAATCGTCTGATTTCACCGTCTCTCTCTGCCGCAGCCTCCCTCCGCTGCTGTTGCCCATCGGTGGCTACTCGCTAAGCGGCTGGCTACATTTGTCCATCGTTCGTCGGTCGTTCGCACGTATGCGTGAATGTATGTTGAACTTCTTTCACACCGTACGTAGCCAACCGTGAGTTGGGCGAGTGAGTCGGGGAGTGAGTCTGTGAGCGTATGTTGAACTTCTGTCGCACCGTACGTTCCCAACCATGGGTGGGTGAGTGAGTGGATCAATGAGTGGGTGAGTGGACGTGTGTATGTTGAATTTATTTCACACCGTATGTAGCCAATGGCGGCAGCCCATGCAGAAATGCTGGGAATGCTGGGTAATGACGCCGAACAACCACCGCCATCTTTTGCGCGTCGGTTGAACTTACGACTCTCGGTCCGAACAGGCAACTGGACACACCGACAGGCTTGTTCGTATCTCTGAAAGTTTCTAAGTTGAATGTTCGTAAGTAGAAGAGTCCCTGTATATAATAGATGACGTTTCGGGCAAGGGCACTAATTATACATTTTGTTTGCCAACTTCAAGTCAATCAATTTTTCTTCCACCCACCCTACCCACCACCTTCCAACTCTCAAAAAAGGCCCATTGCCTGAAACATCATCCCACAAATATATATATATATCCGTTGTAAGGTTAGTTTGAGATGACGGATCGTATATTCCTCACGCGAGCGCGAATGCTGAGCCTGAGCTGACCTGTGTGCTGCGCTCTCTTGCCCCGGTAGCCTGCCCGCCAGGATTCTACGGGCTGAACTGCCAGCGCGCGTGCCACTGCAGAAATGGGGCAAACTGTGATCCCGCTTCGGGGCATTGCCTCTGCCCTCCCGGCTTTCATGGAGAGCGCTGCCAGAAAGGTACAATGCTAATGGCACTGTAATCACAATAAGATGTAATATTATGCTTTACTCCATTATTGTACTCGTAGTGGGTTTTTTTTGTGCGCAAGATGCTCTTGGCAATGTGGAATTGGTCATGAAAAGCAGCCTGAAGAAGAGAGTTTTCTGTCAGCGCATATTCCCATTCTCCTCGTACTTCATTAGCGTGGCAATATGTGTATGCATGTTGAACTTCTTTAGCACCGTACGTAGCCAACCGTGCTAATCGGAGGTGCGGGGGAAGGACAATGATCTGAACACAAAAAGCAGTTCTAAAGAAATTAGTTCTCAGTCTATATTTAAAACTGCATAGCTCCAGTGGCTTCCGAATATCGGAAGGAAGAGCGTTCCAGACGTCCACAGAAGCGCATCTGAAAGCGCGCTTTGTTCGACGGCCAGCAGCCAAAAGTCGCTGTGAGGATGAAAAGTGCGAACAAATAACTCACCCACGACCCGCACGGTGCGGGGAGGAGCCTCACCCATCACCGGATTCACGACTCAATTGCCTGTGCGTGTGCACATGCGCAAAAGCCGCAAAGTTATTGGGCGGCAGGCACTGTCCTCGCGCTGACGGTGGTGCTGGGTGGTGCCAGGCTGTGATGCAGGGAGGTTCGGGGCCGGGTGCCGTGCCCGCTGCAACTGCCAGGGCGGCGTTCCCTGCCACCCCACCACGGGGGAGTGCCTGTGTCCCCCGGGCAAGACTGGAGCGCAGTGCGACGCTAGTAAGTCGAATCACGGCAAACCGCAAGGACACGCGGTGTTTTGCGCCACTGTTACAGCGGCAGGCTGTCGTGAAGCGACTGTGTATTGCACAGATCTAGTCTGCACTAGTTTTACAGCAGAGGGAGATACTGCTAAGTCTTTCCTAATTGAGTCATTTACAGCAACATTTCATGGGAGCTTTTTTTTCCCAGTCTCAAAGCATGAAAAATAAGAATATGTTTTACTCTTTGTGACAGTACAGCAGCAGGTGTTAAGGTGTTCAAGCACCAAAACCTTTTGCAAGGAATCACACCTGCATTAACCACACGGACTTGTGGTGAACACCTGTAGTGAACTTGTGGTGAACACAAGTACGTGGGGTTAATGCAAACTTGATTCCCTGCAAAAGGTTTCTATTTGGTGTTTGAATATCTTAACACCTGTTGTCTTGCCAGAAAGGGTAAAACCTATTCTTACTTGTCACGCAGACATTGTTTACATTTTGGGCATTTGCACCTTGACGCCGCCAAGTGTCACCCATCATTGTAATTTGGATATTTAAAAATCGACCGTGAAGCGGACGTCATGCCTTTAGTGTTCAGACATCCGCAGCACTCACGAGGGTGGTCGCGAGGCCCGAACCTTAACACGTGGCAAACGCGCTACCGCTCGGTCACGTGACTGCCCCGCGCAGCCAAGATTAGCAATTTCAGAACAGTCCTTCAGAACTTCCCATTCAGCTGAAAACAATAATAATTGGCGCGCCATTGGATGCTTGCGCGCACCGCGTGGCGATCCATCGTGTGGTGGAGGATATTCTAATGGCACAGAGCCGGTCAGATCGTTACGCGGCCCAACCCTGATAAATCATTCGTTTTGATCGTGACGTTGGCTGCCGGAACCCGCCGTGCCGTTAACGCGCGCGTGGTGTCCATGATGCTCCCTCTCTCTCTCTCTCCGGCGCAGGCTGCCCGGCAGGAAGCTACGGCGTGGGCTGCTCCCTGGACTGCGCCTGCGGCAATCGGGGCCGATGCAGCCCCGTCAACGGGAAGTGCACCTGCCTCTTCGGTTGGGTGGGCCCCACGTGCCGCGAAGGTGCGTCTGAACGTTCCGCGTCCGTCCGCGCGTCGCCGCGGCCAGGCCAAGGATTTAAGCCGTGGGCCCGAGGGCCCTCGCAGTACGTAGACAACTTCCGCAAGGCCCCTCCAAAGCACGGCCGAGCGACGGCAGCGCGGCCTTCGGGAATCTTTTTTCGTTCGTCTTTCACTCACGATGACGGCGTTCGCGACTTTGCCACGGCAGCTGAAGCTGGGGGAAACAAAACAATTGTTTGAAGAAATAAGTGCTGGCAAGCGATGCACGTTTCATGAATTTACCTTGAGTCGAATAGATGTGTTCATTTTGCATAGGTAAATAATCAAATATATTTGATGACTTTACAAAAGAAGAGAGCAATGTGTAACGCATACGTAGGCCCTTCCCTCCTATTCGCCTTAGGCCTCTCATAACCTCAATCCTGCCCTGGCCGTGACACTGCACTGTAACGCTGCACTACAATGGGACAAATTATTTGAACACAACACCACCATGATAATTGGGTATGGAATTAGAACTGATAAACTGGTTATTTACAGCAGAGGAAAAGCTTTATTTATTGTAAGCTCGGTTTGGTGGTGCCTTTCACCCTGTCTCTCATGACCTTCTTCGTGTACACGGCGATCTCAATAGCGGAATGACGGACAACCAAACGTCATTCCGACACATCAGGAGCTCGATAACGACGATAATGAAGCAAACGCGAATCAAAACACCAACACGATAATAATAATAATATTAATCATGATGACGATTTTTACAAGTTCTAGAATCCAACCAGTTTATTTTTGGATATCTCACGCAAGCAGTCACAACCGACCACTTTACGATTCTTTCCGCTCTCCAGGTCAAGTCACGCACTTTCAAAAAAATACAAACTTTTTTGGCCGGCGTAAACGTTGATTCAGATTTTTGTATGCATGCGCTCACCCTTCTATGCCAGGGGGTCGGCAACCTGCTCCTCCGGAACCCTTATGCGGGTTCTTCGAGGACTGCGTTGCGGCTCTTGAAATATTGAGGTTTTTTTTTATGGAATTCCCCAAAAAAAATCTCTCTTCTTGTTGCTCTGGTTGCCGGTCCCTATTGTGCACGCTCGCGACTCTCGATCCTAAGCGGAAGGATACGAGCAGCCGGAATTTGCCTACGGTATGTTTTTTTTTTTTAGCTAAATCCCGACGTCTCCCCGTGTCTCCAATCTTCCCTTGCAGAAGGACCTCCTCAACTCCCCTCCCAGGCGTCGGCCGCGCTGCCTCCCCGGAGCTAGCCGCCAGGCGCGGGCAAGTGCGGCCGTAATCGGAGGAACACGGGTGTCCGACGGAGGGGGGAGGGTGTCTTCGTCGAATGCGTGGCTCTTGGCCGACGGTGCAGACCGCGCGTCCCGCACACACCTGCCTAAAGTGCCGCCTCCTCACGAAGATCGGGCGAACCCACGTACATCCGCAATCCTCTCGCTAAAGGCCGATTTTGCCCAAGAACGTGGATTCAATCTCCCTACCACCCCATAGTACTGTGGGAAATCGTTGATGATTTCTTTTTTTAACCCAGGAAAGCCCCCACTGAGTCTCAAGACGTTTTTAATCAGGAGGGTCCTTATATGTCTCGCTGTAAGGGGGGGGGGGGGGGGGGGGTGGGGGCGATATTTGCGATGTGTTTTTGCAATTGAGTAATTTGCGGGTAACTTTTATTTCTTTCGGTTAATTTGGACCATGCATTGCCGATTGTCGTTATTGTTGTTGTTGTTATCGTCATTGTTGCAAATGTCACGGGATCTTTTGACGTCCACTGTGAAAGCAGACGGCAACGTATTTTTTTACGGTTAATGCGCCCGCAGTGTTAACCGGGGCGGCCGGCAGGAGCGAACTGCAAACCTCTGCGACGAACGTCAGTCTTGCTCAACGCAATGCCACATCGCCGCTTTTCCAAGTAACTTATGGTCATATTCAGTAGAGCATAACATTTTTTTACGTAATTGCAGTGCTTAAAATCATCGTACGACTTTCTTTTGTACGTAATGTATTAAGAACCAACCTTTTATTTCTCTCAGTTAATCACTTGTATAGATAACTTTAACATTTTGACACTTTTGAAAAGAAAATGCAATATAAAATGTACACAATGTTTGAATAATAAAATGTTAAAACTATCATAGCTAGTTGGCGGGTGAGGTGAACAGGGGTAGGAAACAAAATGATATTTTACTTGAACTTTATTTTTTACTAAAATGATTTTGTCATACAAAAAAAGGCAAATCCAATCAATACTGGAAATGTGTCATTGGTGCTGAATAGTGAACATTTTCCAGACACTGTACAAAATATTATGTTTTTAATTTGTGTACCGTAATGAAGATAGTGTTTAAACTACGTGTAGGATAATGTCAATCTGATAGGCGTTTTTTTTTTCTAACTGAGATATATTAATCATGATAATAGAGTTAACTCGATTATCCGTGGCCAGATTATTCGCGTTCCGATCTCAGAGGTCAAGGGACCTCGCATGCGTTGGGACACCAACTGATTATTTTAATAAACGTTCATTCTGAGTCTTACCACCGTCATCGCCATCATCAGGGGTGGTCAATCCACTGCTGGATGAACGGCCTACCCAAAGCCGCCGCCACCACCACCTCTCAGGATCGTGTCATGCAACAATCTGTCGAGCGTCCGCAACACGAGCTGATTTCATCGCTGCATCTCCTCCGTGGACGTTCGCTCGGGAGCGTCCCGTTCCCTCGGCTTGCTACTCCCTCATTATTCTTGATCATCAGCCGTTAGCTCCTCTCGTGAAGTGTTCTGCCCGAGGGAACTTACTTAACAGTTCGAACGTTCTCTTTGAACTGCGTGTGTTTTTTTTTCTGCGTATGTATGTTGAACTTCTGGCACACCGTACGTAGCCAACCGTGCTAATCGGAGGTGCAGTAAGCAGACGTTGCCTCCTTCACATGATATATGACCCTGGATAATCGAGAGTAAACCGCAAAAAAACTCCGCACGTGTTTACAAGCGAACCGGCGCACGGAGCTAACGGTGGAATGCAAGAGACGCGGCGTGGAGGAGCACTTGATGTTCGTGAAATCAGCTCCCGAGGATTTTTCCTTTCACTGCATGATTGGCACTCCGTATGTCACTGTAACGTTCTGACGCCGTGCCCCGACCGGACATCTGTGAAAAAGAGCTCCATAGCTAGCTCATCGGATTATTCCTCCAGTATACATACACACTCTGATTCTGATCTGTACGGCGGATTCAATAAAATAGAAACTTCCATTTAGGAGCGCCGACGTATAAATAAAAGATTAAGGGGCTACGTCATTAACATTGCCTGATAAAAACAGAACAGTTTATTTATGTAATGTTTTCGTAAATGGCCTCTCTCTATTAAATGTTTGTGCCTTCCCCGCCTGTGTTTTAATGAAGCATATCCCTTGATTTACGGCACAAAGCAGATTCCACAGAACGATATAAATTTAGTTAAAATCGGTGAAAACCAAACGCCGTGTGATTTGGTTCGTGAAGACAGGGTGCGTAGACGTGGGAGCGCAGTGCGGTTCAACAATGGATATTGCTCCGCTGTCCTCTGCTGACAACACAAAGGTAGACCCACAGAAGCCTATATCAACCTGTTATGCATGATGATCACCCTGACGAGCACAGTCCAGGTTCAACCCCGCTTCATTTTCGCGATCTGATGAGATTGTGCGCGTCACAAGTGATCTGTTCATCGCCACCAAATCCTGAATGTGAGCAATCGTTTTCAACCCACGTGATGTGCTGCACGGTTGTCTTATTTTGAATATTCCTACCGATTTGCGTCGGTGAATCCGTCAAGAAACTCCATTTGTTTATCAGTCGCAGCATCTACCCGAGTCATATTCTTTATGCAGAGTCAATGAATGGTTCATCCTGACCAGAAGGAACCAGGAACCTATGGCATTGATGGATGGGCAGGGTACAAACAACCACCATCAAAACAAAAACACACGACCTGACCGAAAATAGGTGTTTGCTATTATCCCACCACTAGAGGGCAACAGTGACTAGGTGTTGGAGGGCAAAGCCTCGAAGAGGCTTCAGATGACGACTTGCACGCAATGGCAGCTCTCATTCAGTGGGTACAACTACATTGATGAGGTCAAAACTGAGCGGGTGCTGGAGCACGAAGATTAACGAGAATTATGGCCACTCGCGCCATGTGGATTTCTTGAGGATTAAAGTTACAAACACAATCACGCCATCCGTAGGACGTGCTGCCCACGAGCTTGTTTTTTTTTTATCACACGCGTATATCGTTGTCGCATTGCCATGGGATAACTGGCAGAGCCACATCCGCTCCTCCTTCAAGCACCACCTCTTCTCCCCCGTGGCCCATCCTTCCCTCCATCCCTAAGTACCCCCGTAATTCCCGAACCCACTAAACCTCCCTCCCCGTACCCCCATCCCTAGTCACCTTATCACTTTTAGCTGCCCTCATTATGTACCACTTATAACCCTTGTAAAGCGCTTTGGATAAATTCGCAAATAAATGTAAGATAGCATGTCAGCACACAGATCACAAAACGTTATACATACCTGTCAACCAATACGGTTTACCTGTATTCTTGTACAGGGATATTGAGTTTTCAGGTCCATACGGCGTACAGCCGTTTGTGATGGGACCTTGTAGGATGAACGTTGAGATTTATAAGGGTACGGGGTGACCAATAAGGTCTGAATTGGTCTGTAATAAGGTAGAGCACTGATAAGGTATGCGTTAAGGGGGTACGGATGGAGAGGAGATCTGATTTGCTATGCATTCCCTAATTGCCACGATTTCTCAAACTCAACGCCCACCCATCACGATCCACCATTCCACCTACACTTGTCCATCTCCTTTTCAAATTTGTGCCTTTACTCGCTGAACATGCCGGATGATTGGTAAATGGGGGAGAGCGGTAAAAAACCCTTTACCAACAACAATGATGACTTGAGTTTGGGAAACTTGAGCAGTGCCACACGGTCCATGATCCAGTTTGAAATGTTCAACTTTTATGCAGTAAATTAACGGAGTTTTAAAATGACAGAACGTAGATTGACAAATGGCTGTTATGTGAGGCTGTTGGTGTTGTTGTGCGAAGATTTGTAATGCTGTAGATAGTTTGCAATTAAATACTAAAGCCAAACTTACTATTCAGTGTGTGTTGTTTGTTTAATTCAGCAGGGTCAGCGTTTGATAGTGCTGGCTGGCACTTGCCACATCTGTGAAATGCAATATAAAATGTACACAATGTTTGAATTCTAAAATGTTAAAACTGTCGTAGCTATAATAATAGGGATTTCCCCTTTTTTTCTGGCAACAAAACTGAAACCTTTTTACAAGGATTCATGTCTGCATTAACCACAATATCTGCAGTCAAAATGCAAACAAAAAACATACTATGATAATATATGCATTGTCCTTGAAACTGATAGCTAGTTAGTGAGTGAGGTGATCAGAGGGATAGGAAACGAACTTACATTTTACATTAACTTTACTTTTTACTCAAATGATTTCGTCATTAGAAAAAAAAAACGGAAATTCAATCAAGACTGAAACATATGTTAATGGTGCTTAATAGGAACATTTTCCAGACACTACAATGTATTGTTTTTTTAATATGTGTCCTGTGATTTTGTGTCCTGTGATCTTGTCAATCTGATCGAGGTTTATATACACAGTATATCACGACAATAGAGCAAATACATTCCACTTATTATCATCAGCCATGGGCTATCCACTGCTCGACGAAGACCTCCCCAAACTCTACCTCTCTCACGTCCCGCGATGCAACAATACAATCCAGCGACAATAATCCCACGCCATGTTGAAGGACAAGCCAGGCAGCTACTGGTAAATACATTCTCGCTCATCACAGCCCATATTTAAATGGACTGTTCATTCATCTGATCCAAGATCCCCAGCAGGTGGAACTGTTATTTTTTTTATCAACTTGTCAGGTCATAATATAAACAATTTAATGTGTTTTTGTATCGCCCTGAAAGCGCAGATAAAAAAAATATAACATGCATTGAATGTAAAAAGATTCGTAATCCTGTAATTAATTCATTGCTGTAGCTCATGCCACGGTTAACACGATGCCTTTCAGGAACCGTTCAGACGAGATCCGATTGACCAGGCAGAAGCCTGGTCAATCGGATCTCAATGATCAATTTGAGAATCACACTCCATTGTGTTTGTTATTGCTTGCGCCTGGTGCGGCTATAAATAATAATAATAATCATTACATTCAGATCGCGCTTTTCATTAAGGATTTCACAGCGCTGTCCAGGACAGCAGCCGACACTCAGCATCAAAATGAAATTATTAATACATTTTAAGATAAATTTACGAAATGAACTAAACGTTTAATAGGTTTTAAAGCGCATTAAAAAAAATTCAACCGACTCAGAGATCCCTGATGCCTCGTGGAAGAGCGTTCCGAAGTTTGAAGGCTACAACGGGGGGAAAATCTCGGTCACCCACAGACAGAAACCTCGACCTGGGAATACAGAGAGATGATATGCATCATGCCCAGATCTTAGGGACCTTGAGGGGGACACATGGGTGCAGCGTGTCAATGATGGAGGCTGAAGGGAGATGGTTCACTGCTTTGTAAGTTAACAATGTGATATTAAACCGAGCGAGGTGTCTCGCTCGGTGTGTCTTTGTGTGTGTCTCTCTCTGCATGTGTGTCTGCCTGTGTTGTTTCCGTGTCTGTGTTTTAGCATTCATTCTTACCTGATGATGGTCGCTTGTGTTGCAACCGAAACGTCGTATTCTATTATATTATTTGATTTTCTACGTGACTTTACCGAAAGAACCAAAGAGTAATAGGATTTTAAACTGTATTCTTTGTGAAACCAGAATACCGTGCAGGGAGGCTAAAACGGGTGTAATACGATGTGAAGAAGGTGTTCTGGTTAACACCCTTGCAGCCGCATTCTGAACATGCTGCAAATGGATCAGCAACATCTTAGCCATGCCCAGGGAGTAAGACCTTACAATAGTCTATGCGAGATGAGATGAAGGCATGGACCAGCTTTACTGCATCTGAGGCAAGAGATAAGGGATCGGATACGGGAGATATTCCGAGGATGGAAAAATGAAGTATTTGTGATCTTTTAGATATGAGCCTTGAATGCCAATGTGGGATCGCAGATAACCCATGGATGTGTGACTTCCTGTGCCGGACTGATTTCATGATCGTCAATCGTAATGTTGAAGGGTGCAAGCTTTATGACTTTGATGGGGTGACCCAATGAGCATCAACCCCAGCTTTAACATCGTTCAATTGAAATACATTTTGTTGCTTCCAACTTTTGGATGGAAGCCAGCGCCGAAGTAAGCATGGAGGCAGACGAAGGGACATCGGACTCAGTATGCAAGTGAATTTGAGTGTTGTCCGCATAGCAATGAAACTTTAGGCCCAGATTTCGGAGCAAACGGCCCAGTGGGACCTTACAAATACAAAAGAGAAGAGGACCAAGAACCGAACCCTGAGGAACCCCAAATGGAACAGGGCTGGGAGCAGATTTAAAATGTCCCATTGTTTGGTGGTTGATGATAATTAAGCCACTGGTCATCGGGCTTGGTATGGATATTGAATCACAACCACGCCGACCACCTCCATCTTCCCACAATGCCCTCCACTCCCAAAACACTCCTCCTCCACAACTGTAATCGGCAGTAATGTAATAAGAGATGCACATTCTCCAACTAACTCGTAACGTTACTGCAACGTTGCCGTAAGGTTGTAGTTTGGTTGTGTTTAAATCAACATCGTTATGATGTTATCACAACATTTCACGGAAACCAAACATGACCGTGTGCAGTACAAGTGTATGCTTGCTCGAAGAAGAAACCAATGGTTGCGAATTGTTTTACACGCCAACAACAGGACACTGTCAGACTTTTCTGTCACGTAGGTAGAAAAATAAAACAAAAAAATATTTCACGACGTTTCGATCGTAGCACAAGCGGTCGTCCTCAGGCGGAAAAAAAATCCAGCAGCGGAACTGCTTTTACAGCCTTGTTGTAACAGCTCTCTCGCGTGACTTTACCGAAAGAACCAAAGAATATGGATTCCTGCAGTCACGAAAGCTTCAAATCAAGACTTTCTGGGGACAGTTGTGGATAGAGACTGCGTGTGAGTTGGAAGTTCACCCATCACACTGAAGGTAGGTTAGTGAACCAACTCCGCATATGTTTTGTTAGTTTCAACTGAGTAAATTTTTCAGCCGTGTTTGTTGTTGATGGTGCACTTAAAATGGATTTTCTGGCCTGGTGTCTGCAGGACGCCCATGATTCGTTATTCCAATTGTTTAACTGCACAGACATATGGTGTTGTTGGAACGCTGCTTTTGGGACACCGTGCAGATTTCACTTGAAGCTACACCATTGCTCATTTCAGTTGCGCACACAACATGCAAAGCACAATAGCAATGCCAATTCTAAATTATGAAATGTATACGCGTGGTAATAGTTTAATCCGTTGCTGTGCTGCCATCTCCTGGCCATCCCCAAGCGCATAGTCTTCTTCATTGATTGGCTGGTCGTATGTTAACGGCCATCGAATAACTGCCGTGAAATTAATGTATGCATCTAATTGTGGTGAAATTGTAAAATACTCTCGAGTGCGCTTGTGTAAAATGCCATCATAATGTGGAACATAAGAATGGTTTCGCCCAGCTTTGAACAAGCTTGCATACTCTGGGATGAAATAACAGCAAACAAGCCCCCAATTGCAATGCATGACACTTGTGATGCCATCTAGCGGCATGCGTGGTGTTTCTAACCAAACAATTGTTTACATTATGAGACCTCCTTTGCCAGTAACAAGATATAGTAATAGGTTTTACCCTTTTAACTGGCACAAAAACTGACTAGGCTCTAGGAAAAGCCGTCTCGGGTGTGGGCAAAATCAAATTCAAGGACAGTGCATATTATTATCAGAGTTGTCTCTTTTGTTTGCATTTTGACTGCTTGTGTTGTGGTTATTGCAAACATGATGCCTTGAATAAAGGTGTCAGTTTTTGTGCCAGTTAAAAGGGTAAAACCTATTACTACAAACAATTGTTACCCGACTGCAATCGGCGTTTACTCCAGCACAAAAGACTTGTTCTGTCCGAGTGTATGAATTAATGATACTGGTGAATCGATGTTAGTTAACCTATGCATACTGCCTTCGTTAATGTTAACTGATCTCAGTCAGACCTACATAAGACCTTGTTTCAGTAGCTTTCGCTCTCTCACCTGAAGACGGTCGCTTGTGTTGCGATCGAAACGTCGTGATCTATTAATTTTCTATCTACGTGACTTTACCGAAATAACCAAAGAGTAATGTTAAATCATTTAATGTGTTCCTCTGACTCCTGTATTCGCTAAACACTTAACCAAGAGTGGACGGTAACATATACATACGATATCAGGTACAACTGTGAATTTGCTTACTCATGGCACTGCTCGTGGAAGGGCCCACCACGAGAGAGTATTTGGCCTACTCGTCCATTCCACACTGGCCACACGTCTTGAGGTGGGAGTATACCCACGCTTTACGTCAACTGCCGATCGAATGCATCGTGGCGTTACTGCATTTTATACTGTTGGGTGAACAGAGGCAAGGGGGCATTTAAGAAATGTGTCCACTCTTTAACCTACAGAGCCGGGAGATGGAGTCGAACTGGGGAATTTTTGATTGCAAGTCCAGTGTGCTCACCATTTGCCCCCACTGTGACAGCGTAGCAATGAATGCACTATAATCTTGGTTCTTCCGGTAAAGTCACGTAGATAGAAATATACTTTTTAATTGACTTTTATTTTTTTAAATCCTCATGACTTTACCGAAAGAACCAAGAATATTAATTCCTGCAGTCACGAAAGTCTTAAGTTAAAATTTAATTAATGCACTCTCGATGCTTAAGCTCTGACAAGAGACAAAGATTCACCCACAAAGCCTTTCGGGGCAAGTTGCTGTTAGCGAGCACTTACGAAGGCCAGAATGACGCACAAGGGGGGTGGAGGGGGGCAGCACCATGCACGGCCGCCTTTGTCTCCCCAGTGCTGTAATCGACCTAGATGAGGCCCTGTACCGACTAAGACATTGGGCCACCTAACGTCGGCCGTGAGCAGGTAACCAAAACTCTGGTTCGCCGGAAAGTTCATAGAGCAGTGCGCTAAGCACTGCACCGCCGCTCCACTCGAGTTCTCTCTCGCTCGCTCGCACACACACACACAGATCAAAAACACACTCAGTACACCACACATTAAAAAAGCCACACAATTTTTTTTGTTTTATTTCTCTTATTATTATCATCATCATTATTATACAGTATTGCATACCAACTGCAAAGTATAAATCTTTTTTTTCCTGGTATCGCAAAGAGCTAACTCTGGGTACACACAAGTTTATTAAGATTAACATGGTCAGCACACGTTACTCTGTAATTACGTTTTGAAATGTATTCCACTTGCCTTACTCGACAATGCAACCACACGCACACACGTCATCGCTCTCGTTTGTCAACAAGGTGGCACAAGAAGCCAGGATAGTGCCTCAGGTCACCCAGAGCCCGCGAATATGTCGCCCTTGAACGGTTGTTTGATCATCAAATGACATTTTGGCAGTAAAAAAAAACTGCTTTTTTCTTCCTCATCGCTCCCGCCACCTCCCCCCCACCCCCCTAAAATAACATTTAGAATAAAATAGAAATATCTACACGCATATCGATGCATAATAATATGAAACAAAATCTGTTGACTTTTATCACCCAGCCTGCCACTGCATGTTGGAACAGGAGGTCCAACCACCTTATACAACATTGTTTCTGTATAGCACTGTCATACACTCACAACATTGCTTCCGGCTTGCCGAATTCTCCTGCGATTAAGTTACGTGGTGCATTTTAAGAAAGCGAAATTTTTTTTTAGTTTTTAGGTTTTTTTTTTTACAATAAAAACACTGATTATTAACTTATGTTTATTTTAGCTACATCGTTTTTTTAATTTTCGGATTTCCCCCCCCTTCCTCCTTCAGCACGTAATAATCCCACAGATGAATGCAGTGTTGATGCATCCTCACAAGCTCGGAACGACTTTGAACAACGTGATTTCACTTGCACCGCGAATTTTGTTAAGCACAGTATTATTGTGAGGATCATTTTTTTTCTGTGAAATATGCGCGAATGTGTTGGTTGTTTCTCAATGGCATGACTGAACCATGCTCGAAAATACAAAAAAAAGATCAACAACCACATGTTTTAAAACCTAGCACCAGGCAAGATTTGAAGTGCGAACAGGAACAAAAACAAAGTTTGAACGACAAAGTCTGTGTGTATACTTACGTAAAAGATGTCACGCTAGTCTCTGTTTATAGTTCAACTACATTGCAGATCAAGTATATTTTGCATGCACTGTCAATTAACGTTTTTTTTTTTTAACAAACGAGTCCGAATCAAAGCGAATGTTGTGTAAAATAAGCCGCCTTCCACAACCCAGTGTTCTTAGCCATAGATAAAAAGGTGGGCCCTTAACGGTGTTTTTTTGGTACAGTACTAATATTTTGTTAACATAATTTCACACGCAATCTGTCAACCTGATCCTTTGGAATTCTCATCCTAATGTAACGTTAAAATGTAACTTGTCGCTGAAGCAATTTGCCGGTATGTGTTGTGTTTTCCTTTTTTTGGAAAGTAAAGAAAAAAAAGTGGCCGAGGAATGTCGGTCATTTTGTCGACAGGCCGGCCAATGTGTCTCGTCAAGATCCTCATGAATCTCCTCCGTCACTAATGCCGTTCTGCATTACTTGCTTTGAAGCATCTTAAAGTGCGCTTGTACTCTGTATACAGGGGGTGCTGCTTTGTTACTAAGTGCATTTGTCATTTAAACACGTTACATCCTTCTCCCCCTCCTCCTCGACTTGTTTAATCATATGCCTTGCGCTCTGCAAATGTCAAACCTCGCTATCAACGTAATGCTGAATCTGCCAACAGTAAGCCGTTGTTCACTATCGACACCGTTGTCGTCCGCGATCCATTGCGGACCAAGGGCCTGTGTGATGAGGTTACCCCCAACGATATGTGCTTGTGCATTGTTCAAGAAAACCATGGCTTATAAACGACGCCGAGAAATGCTCTTAATGGAAACGTCGCAGCCCGTGTGGAAGCTATCGGAATAAGTTTGCAGCCGCTCGTTTCTCCGTCACGTCACGGATGATGGAGGGCGTCCCCGACGCCGCACACCGAAGCTCGCAAAAGCTCCTGAACTGGCTTGGAAGTCGATCGCATTGGAGTGCTCGTAAATGATGTTGTGCCGTTTGATGTACAAAATTGTTCGGTGAGTTTTTTTTCTTCTTCTGAATCTGTGATGGAACAAAATAAAACGACCCTTTTTTGTTATTGCTACAGTGCATTGAATTAACTTGGACGCCATAATGTGAGAATAAGAAGAAAAATAATAGCAGTAGGAAATAATCATTAATAAGAGGTCGAATGATGCAATTGGCCCCGCATACACTTCTCAATACTATCTAAAGTGAAACGAGTTCTAGCTTAAGGATGTATTCGTAACAATAATAACGATGACAATAAATACGTGACAATAACGAGTGATTTGATGTTTGCAAAAACCGGCTTAAGAACAAAACAATTATTGGAGAAAAACAAGATCAGCTTCTACTCAAGAATAAAAAAATGATATGTACGTTATCGTAATTAATATCACTGACTAATATTTAAAGGATTTTGTTTCAATGTATCGTAATCAACGTCGAACACTTTAGAACCTTGGGGTTATTGGAGGCACAGGGTTATGTTTTGGGCTACACGTGGGATTTTATTTGCAAATTGAGAAGCTTGCAGAAACGTATTAAAATGACGCTTTGCCAGAATGATCTGCAAAACCAAACTGGGCATTACACAATGGATGGGATGAATCGTCGTAGCTTTCTTATCGCTTCCATCTGCCTTAAATAAACGTCACTTGTAGCGATGGGGGAGGGAATACTGGGCCACAGAAGAAACAGCCAAGGAAACATGCTCACGCACAACACATACAAGGAACATATTCCGTTTGGCACCTTAACACCAATGCCATTTGACAAAAATCTGTCTTTTTTTCATAGTCTCTTTTTTTTGTCTATCGGATGAGTTAGGAAATGTATTGAATTGATACACACGACATTAATTATGAGGGTTTGTTTTCATGCTAATACTATTAACACGTTCGATTTTCAAAAAAAATTCGCCCGTTTTTTTTAGCTACAATTTTTTTTTAATCGCGCACTTAAAAATAAATAACTACATTTTAAAAACGAAACGTCTACACTGCAAGTAACTGATTGTCATAAAGCAGGAAGCAATATTATCTTGGCGAGCAAACTGTCAATGCCTAATGGATGAGTGTTAGCGAGGAGCACGTATCTTGGTCCTTCATTTAAATATTAACGTGCCACTTAACACTCTAAAAACAAAGTAAGGTGGAAGAAATACGAATGGAAATACTGCTCTGGAAAAAACGGGGAAATGATATCAAACCGGCTATTTACAGGCCCACGCGCTTCTAAACACACGAGAAACAAACAAACAAAAAGCAAGACTAAAAAGAACCCCACACAATTCTACTGTGTACTGCAAAATTGGCTCCCCTCTTGTGACGTGCTGTAAGAATGTGTACAAAAACGTTGCCTGGTGGGGAATTATGTACAGCGAAAACATACACCATACCTGCTCCGCTGCGCTAACCGCGGAAAACCACTTTCCAAATCTCGAGCGTAAAATGTTCGCCGGCTTCCGTGACAAATGAACACAAATAATATTAGATCCGTTCGTTTTTTTACTTTTACGCCTATCAAATTTCGCACAAAGGAGAGGCGAAGAGCCACGTGACCGACGTGACCGAGTTACCGTCCGGTTGCACTTTGGGGGGGGCGGGGGAAAGAACAAATATTGAGTGCCTCGGCAATCGGTAATTAAATCGTGATCGTCGTGAGGTTTTCTTTTTTCTTTCCAAAAGGGTAATTATTGCATGACAAAGGCATATTCTTAATCAGCAATGCCATTCTCACCGTGACCCTGTTATAATTCAAAAGGAAGTAATCGTTGGAAAAGGTGCAAGCAAGTGACATGCCAGCGTTAAAGTCCGACGTTCACGTAATTGCGACCTGTTCGATGTAACCGATCCACGATACTTATAATTTAACCGGAAGCAAAAGAACGTCAACCACGAAAACGGCAAGTGGCTGCTTGACCACGCCGGCAATGTTGGAGAGTGACATCGGTTGAGATTTCTTTGATGGAGACGGCGACTTAAATGTTAGTGCACGTGCCTTCAAGTCGCCAGGTGGTGTTGGTGTGTTTGATGCATTGTAGCCATAGGGTATGTGGGGGGGGGGTAAATATTTGTTCAATCGAGTGAGCACATTTGCTTGTAGATTCTGACTTTTGATTGACGCTGCAGTGCAAGTCACTCTCGGCAAAATGTGTCCATGGTGTCTGTGAATTATCTGGTGTCGAAAGCAAAATACTGTACGCTGTTCTCTTGTTGCACAAGGATGCGATTGTCATGTGAAATCCTTATCAACGGATGCGGCTTCATGGGCCGCCATAATTAACCTTGTCATTGGTATTAAGGGCTTTTCTTTTAATAACAATAAAAGTAACTTACAGCCCTCTCTCAATAAAGGACCTCCCCACACAGTTCGGTCGCGCGAGAGTTGTCCGACCAAACATCACGGCAGGGGGTCCATTGCAGCGTGGTGGAATGTGGAGGCCTCGGACCGGTTTGGTGATCACTCGCTGCCGATGTCAGCCACGCCTAGGGTTTGAAATCGGCTTGATGCGGTGGGTTCATGCCATGCAGCATGCTATCCAGCGCATACGTCGCTAATAATAATAATAATTAAAAAAACTCCCAGCAAAGTCTACACAAAAGGAAACGAATGTAATTTAACATCTTCACAAAGTGACGTGATTAATAAATCGTAAGTTATATTCTCGTTTGAGACCTGAAATCTGCATTGAAGCTGAATCACTTTTTGACTTTACCAGACTGCCGTGAAGCGCTATCTGGGAGGCTCTGAACGTAACCATTTCTAATGAGCAACTCGTTTTGTAACTATCCCCACATTTTTATCTGCGATAGCTCGAGGCTTCTCGTCCCACACAATGGAGACCCATTTGCCACAACTAACACATATTTTGGTTCCGTAAATGCAGAGGTCGATGATAGGTAGCGTCGAAACAATACAACTTCCAACAACATCTTTTCCATTTAACACGCATCGGGGTAAAACCCATCAAACATTATTTTTGTTTCTACTTTTAAAGCAGAGAGGGGGGAGATACAAGATTAATTTAGGCACGCAGTAGCCTTTTAAAAGTTTTACTGCATATCAACATCTAATAATATATATAAAAAAATGATATTCCATAACATCATTGACTTGGTCAACCAATAAGTTACAAGTACTGTATTTTATATATATACTGTGTGCATGTATAATAATTCTGACACGTTGGCTTTGCCCCTGCTGTGAAACCAACTTCTCAAATTTAAAAACCACGGTTACGCAAGTCTTCATTTGACCTTTGATCCCCACGACTAAGAAAACCTTACTTATTACATTTACACAATGATAATAATCATTCCTATTATTTTGTCCTACTAAAAGTCATTGCGTGGATTGAGTGAGTAACTAAAAACAATCAACGATTACCCGACGACAAAAATATCTCCCAAACAAAAAAAACAATCAAGCTTTGGTCCAACAAACAAAGTCGTTTTTTTAGGGATTTTTTTTTTTGCTCTCGTCTTTTTTTCCTTTTCTCTCTTCCCGCACCCAAATGGGGTGTTGTGTGTCGTTGTTGTTTGTTTGTTACTTCATGATATCGCTTGGGGAAACTTCTTCGCGCTCTTGTCCGGTCCTAAAGGCGACTGACGGGGTGGAGGGTGCTCGCTTCCGCCGGGGCCCTTGCCGCTCCGTGCCACATGCTGCCGGAGCCTTGTGAGTCTCGGTCCGACAGGGAGAGCATCATGGCGTAGGCCTGCAGGCACGCACAAACGTTCGGTTGCAACGCCAAATCTATGCGTGTGTGTGTGTGTATGTTGGAACCTCTTTCGCACCGTACGTAGCCAACCGTGCTAATCGGAGTATCAATACCGTACCACCATGTGGATAGGCGGGAGCGTCCATCTAGGCCTGGTTGGGTGTCCACATCTCAATAATCTCGAGGTGGCCAGGAGTTGGCCGAAAAGCAAATGGCCTCCTTATGTCATTGTTTTGACAGATTCCAAATAAGCTGTTCCTGAAGCTGGGATTTCGCCCTGGGAAAAAAAAGTAGCTTTCATGATAAGTATAATAATGCAGCACATTTGGTGTCTGTGCCATTCCTGTAGCGCCGGGGCGATCATCACGAGGACACTGCAGTGTTTCACAGACATGGTCTGCAGTGGTTTCACAGGACGGTGACGCCGGCACTCTGTGGCCTACCCGTTTCGAATGACGTTGCGTGAATCTGTAAAGGTCCCACCGCGAAAGCAGACGGCGTGCAATATTTTACGGTTAATACACCCGCCGTATTAATCGGGGTGGCCGCCAGGTTTGGACCGCGGACCTCTGCCGCAAGCGACGAAAGGCGCTACCGCCGGTGGCCGCGGCGCCACCGGCCAGCTTCTCGCTCGACGACGCCCGGCGACGCCCGGCGACGACGTCGTACCTGCGACTTGGACTGGCGGTAGAGGGGCGGCTTGACCCCGTCGTGGCTGGCCGTGGCAGTGCCGTAGGGCAGCTCGGCGAAGCGCTCCTTGAGCGGCTTGCGCAGGTCCAGGCTGTCGGGGAAGTGGCTCATGTGCTCCAGGGCGGACAGCTGAGACGACGGCCCCAGCGGGCTCAGGGCTCCCTCCTCCAGCGGGCTGCACCTGCACGGGCGGGGGAGACGGAGCCGCTGCGTTCGTACCGGCGCGCGGGTGGAGAGAGCGATCGCGGTGTGGGGGTCGGGGAGGGGGGAGACTGAGGCGTCCGACGCTGTGGGCATATTCCACCTTATCGTGTGTGCGCGCTGTTTGAACGGTCGCAGTGACCACTCTCAACCGGTGCTTGCCCCAACAGCGTGATTTGACGAAACAAAGGGACCGTTTTGTTTCTTTGTTGAGGATGAGAAAAATTCTCGCAGATAAGTGTCAAATACGGATATTGTGTTGCCACCACCATGATCCTGGATTTGCCAATGATTCATGGTGGCAGTATCAATACGGAAATGCAGGAAATAACCAATGCCAATAAATTGCCGCTGTTGAAGAGGAAGCCTGTTAAACAGCAGCCGGTATACAATGGTGCGATGGTGACGACAATGACACAATAAAGGGATCACTTTAATAATGTTTATTTTTATATAGTGTCGTCATTCGTGGAAATTCAATTTCGCAATCGCTGTGGAACTACAGGCAGCCAGGCAGTGAGCCTGTACCAACAATTGCCTCCTCGCTCCGTCTATTTCGATGGTTTCAAACAATGTATACATGTTGGAGGGTGGGGGGAGGGGAACTGGAGCGCCTGGAGAAAACTCAAGACGTTTGAGGGACCAAAAATTTCTCCCCTACGGAAGGGATGGATGATGTTTATCTTCAGGGCCAAAAAAGGTGCCAGGTAAACCCTGGCACAAGGCTCCTCCAACTGAACATTGATGGACTGACTCTCCCAGGTGAGGTCCTGACACTGGCTCTGACCACCTGCATGTGAAACAAAACCCGTTGCTCTACATCTACATCGGCGATGCGAAAAAGGAGGAGTCCGTAACTTTGCTGTTACATGCTTCTCCCGGCGAGCCGGGGTGTGCCACCTCGACTCCCACAGCGAGGGAGATTCACAACATTTGTGCGGCGATCCACCAACCCTTGCTGCCTCGACGGTGCTAGAGTGTCAGCGCCACGCTCGCGTAGCTACCGCCGCCGAGCTAAACAGACCTGAAATAAAGGGATCTCGGAGGGTTAGCTCCGCGTCGTCCAGCTCTGTGGGCCGTTCTCTGACGCGAAGGCTTGCGGCACCGCTCTGCGAGCGATCCGCGCGGATACTCGCTCCCCGTGGCGACGTGACGCGCGATGCCACGGTCGGGATAACGCCTGGGGAAGAAGGAGAGGGACCCAAACGAAAAACCGTCGCCCGGCCGCCCCCACCTTGCGGTGCCGAACTCCGACGGGAGACGCTCCGCGCGGTCGCCTCCCACATCGTCGTCCAGCTCCTCCTCCTCCTCCTCCTCTTCGTCGGGGGGCCGCCCCGCCTTGGCCGCCGGGGTCACGTGCTCCTCCGGCGAGCGCTCGGCGGCGCTCTCCTCCTCGCCCTCCAGCATCAGCTCCTCCTCCAGCTCCTCTTCCTCCTCCAGCTCCTCTTCCTCCTCCTCCTCCTCCACGTCGTCCTCATCCTCGGGGTCTTCCCTGCGCTCCGGAGTCACGGCGATCGCCTCCGCTGCCGGTTCCTCGTCCACGCCGAGGCTGTCGGGACAAAGACAAAGTTCCCCCCCCCCACCCCCGTATAGCCGTTAACAAACTGTTGGGGCAAGGGCTGTTAGCGAGCACCTAATGGCGGCCGGCACGGCGCACGAGGGGATGGGTGGTCAACGCCCCCCCCCCCCCCTCCCTCCCCCCCCGGGCTGCACTTTATCTCCCCAGTGCTGATGCATACACACCACACCAGGTACTCGTGTGAGGCTGAGTCGACCTGGGGGAGGCCCAAGACCGGTTCATATAATTGTCACACACACACACATACTCGGGGTTATCTATTTCGTACAAATTAAAACAATTAAACTGTTGGTGTCTACTCCACTGGAAAAGGCGTCGCTTTGGGGACAAGTGGGATGGGCTGTGGGGGATAGATCAGAGTGGGCGAGACCACAGATGAATGAAAGGTGGTGTATGGTTGGGGACAGATGTGTATTGAAGCCGATGCAAAGCCACGAGCCGCCCCTTGTATGCACACAAAACAAGACGGACCCTCCGAGTAGCCTGCCGACGCTGTTTGGGGCATTGACATGGGCAGTGGGGGAGGCTATGGCTCTCGTGTCTGCATACAGGACACGGTGAATGTACAATTTTGATGCACGCATGCGTGTCTTTGTCTTTTTTGTGTAGGTACTCGCTCACGGCACATGCCCCAAAACTATGTTAAGGCTATACGGGGGATCTTTGTCTTTGTGTGTATGGGTGTGTGAACTGCCAATACAGCATTGAAAACGCCTGACAAGGGTGAAACTAGTACACATTGTCCTGCTGCTGGCAATACTGAGACTATATAAAAAAAAAACCTGGGTCTGTCCTGTGACCTTCTGCCGGTGACTTTCCACCACTCTTGCGTGGCCTTAAAGGGCACTTGGCCTGGCACCATGTGCCATGGAGATATCCCCCACCGCTGTGGTGAATTCTTTTGGAGTTTTTGCCGTTGTTTGTTGGCGTGTACTGCTGCTCCAATAACGAAATAAATAATCCATGTTATCCCGGCAACTATATGAATTCCCTGCCATATTTAATGGAGGTATGCTTGTACTGAGGGTGACCTCATGTAATGACTCAACTTCAATCATTCTGTGCCAAATCCCAAGTCCTCACTCGGTGGAGCATTCTGGATGATGAAATAAATAAGTAAATGAACTTAGCTTCTGCATCTCCTCAAACAACAACAATTTATATTTAGTCTATAAGAGAGGTTTGTCGTTAGTCTTTCGGCCGATGCGCCTTCTAGCCATCGTTTGGGCAAACTGAACAGCAAGCATTTGTTGAGCAACTCTGCCAATGAGACCCAGAAAGTCAAAACCGGTCCCGAGTTTGCGTGCTTTTTTTTTTACAACTGCTGCTGGTAACCCGAGTACGGAAAGCCGACAGCCCCGTAGAATTCCCGTAAAGTAGAAAAGGTGTTTTTTTTTTTAGCGTGGAGATGGAGAGAAGGACTTGGGATATTTATTTTATCACTCGGAACACAGACTGCCTCCTGGCGGCAGTACATATCTACTGGTAGACAATGGGACCATTGAAATGTTCGTGGGAATGTTTGCTCCCACGGGAATGGTTTTAAGTATAAACTGATCCTAATGGGCTGCACGGGGACTGACCGACTTAATAATCTTCATGCCGTCACTCGCGATGCAGCCGCGGAGTAATGGTTTGCACGCTGGCCTCGCAATCCGGAGGTCGCCGGTTCAATTCAATCTCCCGGTGCAGCAGCAGCAGCAGCAGTTAAGACAATGGGGCAAGTTTCTCATAATGACCCCCCCACACCTCCACCCCCCACACCTCCACCCCCCCTGCCTCTGTCCATACGGCAGTGTACCAGGGGTCGATCACAGTAAGTGGATCGGCAGTTTGCAACGCGGTGGGGTGAAGTCGGAGGGTATTTGTGACAGGACATTTTGGCAGCTTGGAAAACGTAACTTGTAGAAGGCCTTCTAGAACTCCCTCTAGTGGAGGGCCCTTCTGCCAGCAGTTGCATTAGCAAGCAATTGCAGGGCTGCTCCTTTACCTTAATAACGGTACTCCTACTCTTTCACTCGTGCCGTTTAATTTTATTTTACATTTCGCCATTACATCATCGTTCTAAGGTTTATGAAGAAAAAAAAACAACGCACAGGACACATGACTAAACTTCCCCTTCCATTGTGCGCGTTGTGTCGCCGTGAACGAGCGGACGATTGTGTGTCGGTGACGCCGCAGTGGCACGAAGGCCGCCCCCCACCCTCCCTCCGCCTGTAACTTGGCCGCAACCCTTCACTCGGTGACAACGCAGGCGCCGACTAGAATCGGAGAGTAGTGATCGTAATTATCGGAATCGGAGCTTTCTCAAGAAGAAGAGAGAACCGCGAGTTCAAGGGGGTGCGGGGTGGGGCGGGGGGTGACATTTCTATTTCGGTCAGCAGACATAGTACAAGGCTGTATTTTTCCCCGTAGCGTCCCATTGCGATTGGCGTCTCGGGGACAGATGCATGTCGCGGGACGTTGACGAGATGGCACGTGCACGGCCAGCGATGTGTTATTTCTTGTTGGCAAAGCTTGGGACTTGGTAAAAAAAAAATAGGCGCAACCACCGGCCGGGGATTGCTCGATCCTTCTCCGCCGCTGTTGCCGCTGCCCGTGCTGAAGCGCTCGCATCTGGAATTCCCAGATGCCTACCGCTCAGACGCATTCCCTGTTCAAGTCCAGATTTGAACAGGGAATGTTAAGCATCTATCGCTCTCTCTTTCCATAATGCCTGGGGTCTTCCTCTCGAGGTGCCTGTAGAATTTGCGCCTATAATACCTTTTGCTGCCATTGGTTTTTAAAACCGTCTTCAAACTTGCTCCCGGATGTGTCAGTTTCCCTCTTATTTGCACGGCATCTCGAGGTGCGGTCACATTCGGACGCCTTGCAATCTATTTTGCATTGTGTCGGTAAAACTCGCACATTCCTACAATAATACTTTTCCGACGTGAAACTACCCTGCTTCAAGGATATTTATTTATTTATTTGTGCTCCTGGCCAGGGAAAAGTTTCATGGGAGGGGGTTAGGCGCCAAGGGGTACAGCATGGGCAGGCGTCGCACTAAAATGCGGGGAGTAGTCAAATCCTCATCAGCGGCAATCCGGTGTGACTGCAGAAAGGTCCAGTCTAGCGTGAGCGTGTTGTAGGATACGCCACGAGAAATAGGACCCCCCCCCCCCCACCCCTAAGCAGTGGCCCCTCATTTCAGCCACTTCTCGGCTGAAATGAGGTCAATTATGGACCCTCTTTAATGCTTCATGCTGCGTCACAGCAAGAAGCCAGAGGCCAAGAGGACGGCTTGCACGAGGATTGATAAAAGACCGAGAAAGAAGAAGAAGAAAAAAAACCGACTTACTTTCTGTCCATTTGGCTCTGCTCCTCATTTGCGACCGGGGAAAATAATTTGCTCGGAAAAACGACACGGGGTAAAGTGTTCCAGACCTCGGGAAAAATGAGAGTGGATCTGTCTCAGTTGAGTGATTACCATTGTACACCGCAAAATTACTTTCGGTGGGTCCCGTCCCCTCTACTCTGCTGGATAAACCCATCCCACCGCGACCGTCAGCTGTTTGGTTTATGAAATTGTTCTGGAAAGTAATGCACCGCAAACGGTCGATGGGCTCTTGTTTATTTTTTTTAAATTACGTTTGATTTTTGTTGTTGTTGTTGTTGTTGTTTTAATGATCGCTTTTTATACACGCGCAACATCCGTACACGTAACAAGAAAAACAAACCGAGTTCTCGCTGCTAAATTGACCTATCTCATATAGCCATGAAAAGCCATGAATGTGGCAGATACCATATATATAAAAGAAAATAGAGAGGCAGAGATTGCTTACAATCTCTCGAGGGATCACAGCAAAGCAGTTGCAGGGGGGCGGTGGGGGAGGCGGGGGGGTGGGGGGGAGGGGTAACTTGTAATTACAGTTTCGCTGAGCTAGCCGCCTGCAAAATGGGATCCGCGTGGCATGCGCTGGGACCCACTGATAATTACAGGGGACGGAGGTGGGGTTGGTGGGAGAAGGGGGGGCGGGCGGCGAGGGGGCAGAGGAGAGAGCAGGGCGGCGATGGCAGAGGCGGACAGGAGGGAGGTGGGGGGCGGGGGGGGGCATAGCGGTGGAGGAACGTCAAATTTTGGGCAGCATGGGTCAATGCGAGTCAACATTTTTTTCCAAGAGTTGGAGGGCTGAGTGCGGGGTGGGGGGGTCTTAAGTTTTGCAAGCAAGCAATTAATCATGGGTTGGTGGCTTGACAGGTGAGTCGCTAATCGAAGTTCCGCAGAGAGAGAGAGAGAACGAGAGAGAGTGAACGAACGCGAGTCGCTCTCTCCCGCTCCATCCTTTGTGCCGATTTCCATTCTGCTATCACGGCAGAAATTTACAGGCGATTTGGCCGTTCTTCTTTCGTCTTCATTTAATTCTCCGATATGTACACTGAAAGTTCAGTCATTTAAATGTTGTGGTGTATTATGACAACGAGATAGAGATTTTTATTTTTTATTTAACCATATATGAAATGCGATGCTAAAAGTGGCTTAGAAAATTGTTCCGAGATGAGCACTTGTCAAGTAAGGCTTGCACTGCACGCCCAAAATGTGGCGTTGTAAGAACATCACCAAGCCAACTTTGCCAATGTTCGCCCACTAAATTAAACACGAAGTCAACTTAGTAGACACCCAGGCCAGGATCAAAAACCCAACTGCAATTGGTGTGTCTCATATATTAAAATTCTAGAAGCTACGTCAACTTGATGGGTGTACGTTGAACGTCTTTCGCACCGTGCGTAGCCAACCGTGCTAATCGGAAGTGCGGGGGAAGGACAACAAATTAAACACAAAGTAGCTGAAAAGTAATGGCTTCCTAATTATCGGAAGAGCGTTCCAAACGGCCGCAGAAGCGCATCCAAAAGCCCGCGATACGGTGACCATCTCCGTTCAATGGCTAGCCAAAAGCCGCCGCTGCGTGGATGACCAAAGTTCACGTGATGGTTTATGTGATCACAGCACGGGAGGCCCAGGACCAGTTCAAATCTCACTGCGCCGCTGATGTTATCCAGAGCCTGGGAATCGAACTCGGCCCACCGGGTTCATATGTCAGTGTGGCTAAACCACCGCGCTCGACAGACAAAAGATAGAGATCCCCCGTACAGCCTGAACGGACTGTTGGGGCAAGTGCTATTAGCAAGCACCTAACGAAGGCCGGCACGGCAAACGAGGGGGTGAGTGGCCAACACTACGCCCGGCCGCCTTTATCTCCCCAGTGGTCATGTTTGCATACCTCACCAGGTACTCATTTTTGAGGCTGAGTCGACCAAGGGAAGGCCCAGGACCGGTTCAGATAGTCGTCACTGGTGGTGGCCGTGAGCGGGAATCGAACTCGGTAGACCGGGTTCGTAGCGCAGCGTGCTTACCGTTACACTACTGTGCGTCTCCACAGACACACACGCACTCGCCCACACACACGCATACACACACATACGCAATTAACCCCAGGTCTTTGCGCTCCACGTTTGAAGTCCCGGCTCCTCTTAAGACAAGAATTGGACTGGGATTTGCGAGAGAGAATTATTATTTTTCCTACAAAAGACTTGAAGGTCTGTAACATCACTCATCATTACCGACCGGAGGAGGGATTAGCCGACAGGGAAGGGACATTGCGTGCGATGTCTCCCTCGCCGCCGACGGCTAAAGCCTTTAACCGCGACACTGCGCAGGTCGTCCCTCCTCGTTTCCCTCGGCCAGGGCCTTTTCTTTTTGACATCGAAGTAATTTCCTGCAGTCATTAGCCTGGCAGGCAGACTAACGGGCTGAGAAGCAGACCGAAAAATTATTTACTTAAACCCCCCCTCCCCACCCGCCTTCTCTGTCTTATCAGTCGCATTTGAGTTGTTGCCTGGGGCAGTACATGTTGGTCACAGATGTGGCCAGGAATGGGGGGGGGGGGGGCTTGTGGGCAGCTGGCTGAGAGTTGACAACTTAATTCCTTCGTAATGCCTCCTTGGATTGCGCGCCGTGGCACGGTGGGTTTTGTGAAAGGGGGCGCGCAGCGGGCATCACGCCGGGAGGAGGCCTACGGAACGCTGCCAACCCAACGGAATAATGAACCCCCGAGCGTTCCGCATCGCGCGGTTTCCTGCCTACGCGTGGACGCGTGTGGCACGAGAGAAAAGGGAGAGCTCATTAATGCGCCTGCCCACAGTGTTTGTCCGTCCCACGAACAACAATTCCCTTCTGCTTATGAGATTAAACGCTGGCAGCAACAGCATAAGTTTTGAAATTCTGGTCTCATAACCCACAACGTGGTCTCCAGCCTTTCTGTGTCTGCCTGCGACCAAGTCAGCTGGAATGTGCCTGATCTCATCGAACCTCCTCCTGAAGCCAAGCGGGCTCTCGAGCCTGGATCGTGCTCGCACGAGCGACCCACCATTGCGCGCCCGGTCGCTATGAGGTCGTCGGGGGAGGGGCGGAGCAGCAAAATCCATCGCTGCGCTGCGAGTCTATGCTCCAAAGTCGATGCTCCCCCCCCCCACTCTCTCCCAACCAACACTAACGTGCCCCCCTTCACCCGCCGCCATGACCCACTTAGTGTGGCAAAGCCCTTCATCCAGCAGTGGATTGACAAAAGGGCTGCACATGTACAATCAGTGCTTATCAATTAGCAGTTACGCAGGGCGTGTAATCCTGATATTGCGGTTTCGCAAGTGGCAGTCGTCACAATCCACCATGGTGCCACCGTTCCAATCTTCTGTGTGTGTGTACGTATGTATGTGCACTGAACTTCTTTCGCACCGTACGTAGCCAACCGTGCCGATCCAAATGCAGATCCGCTGTCGTAAACGTTGTAATCGGTGTCCCTCTACAGCTGCACGGGCTGTGTAGTTTGCAAAAATAAGAATACGTTTTACCCTTTCTGGCAATAAAACAGGTGTATTAGGATGTTAAAACACCAAACTGAAACCTTTTGCACTGAATCATATCTGCATTAACCAAGTATACGTGTGGTGAACATGCAAACAAAAAAACACATGCTCTGGTAGCACATGCTTAATTCCCATCTGAAGCGGTGAGACCGAACGTGGGAGAGAGGTGGCGCTGTAGTGGGTGGCGAGGACCCTAATTAACGGAACCTCGATTTAAAATCCCCGCATCAGCAGCCGCTGTAACCGTGAATGGGAAGGACTGGCCGATGTGGGCCCCCGAGGGCCCGGAGTTGGAAGTTTCCAGGTTAGTCTATTACGTACGGCGCTGGACAAGAGTGATGGCGTGTGTGATTTAGGTGGCTGTGCGGCTCAAGGGGTATTATGCCATTTGCTGAGCCAGCACCACTGTGGAACATGCTGAGAATCTCGGCGCTCCCCGCCCGCGGTAAAACAGGGTTCTCATCTACAGCGCGTTCGCACGGGGTCCCACCTTGGTCAGCGGTGATTGTACGGCTGAGGGTTTTGTGATGAACTCGCTTTCGCGTTCAAATTCAGTCGGGCCAGCCCGGGCCATTACCAGCACATCCATCAGCCCAAAACCTTACGTGGCCACTACACGGAGAGACCACTGTAAGGTAGATGGGTACGATGAACCCTCAAAGGATACCACTATTGTTGTCACTGCTTTGGAGTTCCACATTCAGAAGTGTGGTTCTGCTGTCTTTTCATATTCTAGAACTGGACAATGCTCCCAAAGCCTAATCGATTAAAAAAATACAAAACCCTACATTTGTTTGAATCTATCGTGCCAGTAATGGCGAGAGGCATTTGCTAGTCTACAACAAGCGTGGCCCTGAATTTGGATAATATCGTCGGATCTCACAAGCTACGCGGGGTGAAACCTGGTTGAGTAACGACCACGGCATGCCAGGTGTTGTAAGCTTGTATGCATGTTGGATTTCTTTCACGCCGTACGTAGCCGACCGTGCCAATCGGAGGTGCGAAGCGTGGGGGGTTGGCGAGTTGGTTGAGGAGATGCCAGGATGGCATTGGGTCCTTGAACGTGTGCAGTGGGGTGGTGGTGGGGGGGGGGTGTTCTTTTTCCAAGCGCTCCAGTGGGGGGCTGCGTGCAATGGGGCGGAGCAGGAGGAGGTTACTTACGTGGGTGGCTCTGTGCCAGGGAGGGCGTTCGACTCCTCCGTGCTGCTAATGAAGTTGCGGATTTCGGTGAAGTACGAATCCTCCTTGTCCTCCAGCAGCGAGCTGTTCTCCAGCTCAGAGTTGGGAGACGAGCCGGCCGTTCCTGAGAAAGTAAATGGGGGCAAGAAAGAGTGTTTTAATAACAAAACAAAAAAAAAACCCGCTTCTATTAAAAAGTGGTGGGGGATGCTGCTTTTGAGTAATGGGTTGGTCGCACCGGTATTGCAACGCGGAGGTCGGAAGTTAAAACAACGGGGCAAGTTTCTAAAATCCCACCTCTCCCAACCCCCGACAACTGATGCCCACCCAGCAGTGTACTTGGGTTTCGCCACAGGGCAGATCTTGCGTGGTGTGGGTAAAATGTGGGTACTATCGCCTCTTCCAAGACGTCTACTGCTACTATACTAAAAACTCTTTTTTTATTTTACCGGGTAAGGCCCACTGAGCTATGTTGCTCTTTCTCAGGAGCGACGTGGCCACGGATGATAGCTCGGCAAAGTGGCTGATCACGTGGACACTTATTGCTGTCAAATACTCTAAAACGCACGTTGATTCTCAACGTGGAGGGAAAAACCGAAGGATCTGGATAAAAATCCACGTGACCACGGGGAGCGAGACATGCAAACTCCAAACACGCATCATGGTTGGGATCGAACCCACGACCGCCTGCATACCAGGCGAGGGAGTTAACATCTCTCCACTTTGGCGCCCCTCGCCACGGTGGAAGAGTAAGTTAAATAACCTTCAGGAGGGGCTCGCCAGATCTCCCTCGAGCGGAGGTCCTTCTGTTAGCAGTGGCGTGAGCCAGAAATTACAGGAACAGCACCTTTACCTCTTTTACTTGTACGAATTAGTGATGAGCTGCGAAAGAATTGAGTCGTGATCTCTGCATTGTGGGAATTCATAGAATCGCCAAGAAAGAGGGTAATGATTGTTTCTCCCCCCCACACCCTCCTGTCAACAGCAAGCCATTATATAACGCAGAGCCTCCACCAGAGATAGCGACACGCTTATATCTGCAGACACGCATCCGTAAACCTATATGCCCATATATGTTAATGCAACATGGGTTCGAGCCACTGTGCACTCGGTGAGCCAACGGAACTCCCCTGCTAACGCTCCAAGAGCAGCCGCGTAATTCACAGCAGCCTTCTCCGAGCTTGTACGCCGATATTGCATCGAGCATGAAAACGCCACGGAGCTGCCAAGTTTTGCCGAGCGCAAATTAATGGAACAGATGTGGCGCGTCGCAGACATTTAAAATGCAAGAGCTGGTGAATAAGAACCGTGCCGTGGGTCCGGGGACCGTCGCGAGGGTAATTTGGCAAGCACAGAAGCGACGCCACCAATCGGGGGAGGAACGGTTACGTCCCTCATGGTGAAATTTAATTGGACTGACAGGGTTGCATCGCTCGGCCGGTGCGAAACAAATAAAACGAAGAAGAGCGGTGGCAAAACGGGAGTCCTTCCCACCCCGCACTACCCCTTCCCCTTGTGCCACGCTCTCTCCGGGAGACAACGGTCAGAAGTGATGGTTACGGTCGTCGACCGGTGAAGCTGCAGCTCCAGGAGTCGCCCTCAATCGCCGGTCTTGCCAAGTCACAAGCGAGCAACTCGCAGGGAACCCCGACATTAACGACCGCGCGCGATGCCGAAGGGAAACCGACTCCAGATGCGGGAGAGGTCATCGTCCCTGGGGGATGGTCTGCAGGACGATGATGATAATGACGGCGATGACGATGGCCATGCTCTCCAGATTATAAGACGCTACAGAAAGAAGGACTCGCCCCAATCTGGTGCGAAGTTGTACACACGTGCCCTACCGGATTATCGGACGTACACCCCTCAACTCTTTAGTTTTCAAGTGGAGGGGAAAAAGAGTATATTGTAATGCAGGGGAGGAGACTGTAAATGTCACCTGTCTAGACTGACGAGACTTGAAATATACATAGTCATGTTTATCTCAATTACATATGTATATAGGATTCACTGGCTCGAATAATACAATTTTATAGTGATACATATTTGGGGCAAAGCCAGTCTAATAATAATAACAATAATGATCTATTTATCTAGGTTAGCCTCACAAAGTCTGCGGACTCTTCTGGGGGGGGGGGGGGGGGGATGGGGTTGGGGAGTCTGCATTGGAATGTTTTGTTGAATCAAAATTTGGACATGTGGGAAGAAACCCTCAGTACCTGGAGACATCCCACTGGCACGAGGAGGCTGTAAACACTCGCACCTCCACACAGGAAACATTGAAGAATCCTTCGCGTGTACCGCCACATTGCAGGCAACGCCTGGCACCGCATTGCCCAGCTAGTCTCCCAACCCTTACCATGGTAACGTTCAAGTACTAACCAGGGGTTAAAGCCTTGCCCGGGTGCCCAACATCTCACAATATCGGGGAGCGTTCAGGGTGATTTGCTCGCAGGCTGGCAGGCGAACGGGCGGGCAAGTGGGCGGGCGGGGAAGTGAGCGTACTTTTATATTGTTTTGATGTAACATTGTTACCAACGCACGGACGCGGCGAATCGCGCGCGGACCGCGTGTGCCCCCCCCCCCCCGCGCGCCCCGCCCCCTCTCACCGGCAAGGTGCTTCTTGAGGTGGCGGTCGAGGTTGGTCTGCTGCCCGAAGCAGCGGTTGCACAGGTTGCACTTGAAGGGCTTCTCCTTGTTGTGGATGTTGCGCACGTGGCGCTGAAGGTTCGACGAGATGCTGAATGAGCGCTCGCAGTATTTGCACCTGCCGGTGAAGAGAGGCACGCACGCACGCACCATGGTGAGCCTGCTGCTCTTCTGGCAGGTGGAGGGGGCGCCACGGTGGCTAGGAGATGTTAACTACCTCGCCCGGTATACGGGAGGTCGTGGGTTCTTATCCCGACCCTGACGCCTGCTGCTGTATATTTGGAGTTTGCGCGTCTCTCTTCCCGTGGTTGCGTGGATTTTTTTACTCCACATTTAGAATCACCGTGCATTTGGAGTATTTGACTGCTTTAAATTTCCACGCGATCGGCCACTTCGTTGAGCTGTCGTTTGTTGCCAAGTCGCTTCTGAAAAAGGCCTATATATAGCTCAGTGGGCCTTACCTGGTAAAATGAACATAGTTTAGTTTTTTGTTTCCGTGGCGGAAGTCAACACGTTCATCGGCAACTCTTTGCGTGTGTGGCCTTCGAAGGAAATGTATATGTATATAACAGGTGATGTTTAAGGAAATGTATATATATATATAACAGGTGATGTTATTCTTCATAGCACATGTCTTATAAGTAGGGTTGTTAAACGATAACTGAAAGTCAGAAACCGGTAGTAACCGTTTCCAGTGAAATATGCCTGAGTCAACGAACGCGCTGATCCGCTTCATCTGTCGTGCCGGGAGAGGGACTAGAACCGGCGACCCCCTAGGTTGCAGGTCCAGTGCACGAACCATTCCAGCACTGAGGCAACTCCCTTCGTTGCTCTGGATATTTCTATATATGGAGCAATGAAGGTAGCCGGTTCTTACGGGATTTTTCTGTGACTGATAACCCATGCGAACCCCATAGAATGTGGCAGCTGCTCAGATGTTTTTTTTCTCCATGTGCCTCTTGCCTAGGTCACATAAACTATCCTCGTATAGATCCATAAACCGACATAGCGACCGACGAACTAAACAATCCATCTCGCTCCTGCACATGTGCTGAACTCATCAGCTTCGTAAGAGTCCATTCTCTCGGGCACATTCTCTCCTTCTGGCTTCCGTTCCATCACGAGCCTCGTCTATCGATCATTATTACCTCCACCGATCAGTCCTGCCCCAGAACCACTTGCATTCCTGAATGAGGAACTATGGATGTCTCCGACTCTGTACTAAATCCCTGGTACCCTCACGCTTTCTCCTCCGTACGTATTCTATTTGTATTCCAAAGCACGCAAATGTCGCCGTGCTCCTCTGTACGTTTTTTTCCGATGTTTGTCCCATTTCCATCATCTTTTACCCGTGTTTCTTCCGATGCATGCAACGCAGCAGTTGCTATATCCACGATCGTTGAGTTATAAAAAAAAAAAGTTTGTATATATTGGCGCCTCCTCCCCCCCCCCCCCACCCATAATGAGTTATTGAATTTGAAGACACTATTCAAAAAACGTATGCCAAGAAGCGAGAGGATAAAAAAATATATATTATCAAACAATTCTACTCACACTACTAGCTACGGTCGAACAGGACCAAGATGGTAAAAAACACAAAAGAGGGAAAAAAAAGATTTAGTGAAAAACTATTAAAAACGTGTCGATGTAGGTATGACTCGTGCCCCCCCCCCCGAGGTCAGCTGGTTTGGCGTTTCACAACATGCTTCTCATAACCGAGAAGCGGAAAAAAAAAGCCGCACACATTCCACATGTAATTATTTATATGGATTACCTGTCCGTCTCACAAGTAATTGAACACGATCGTTTTTGACACGCTCAGCAAGATCTGGACGTTTCGAGAATAGGCGGCCGGTGACAGTGGCAGGTTTTTCTTTGTGTTTTATTTTATTTTTCCATTCGGCTGCGGCATTTTCAATTTCTCATGGAGGTGACAGGAAAGCGGCCGGGGTCTGTGCCAGGAGTCGGTGACTTTTAATTTCTTTCTTTTTTTTTTACGCTCAATCGCGGCGTAAGCCTCGGCACCATTTTGATTAAACGATTTTTTTTCGTTTCCCCCTTCCTCCCCCCCCCCGCCCGGATTGTAGAGGGCCCGGCGATGCGGCGAATTGCCGGTGTTGATCAAAACCAGAAAAGGGCGTCAAGAATCTTAATAATTTTTCCAAAGAACAACGGCCGGCGAAGAGGCGTTTGCGATGAATTCCTCCCTCGGCGCCGAGTATCGGCCAACTGTTGTCCACCGCTGGTCGCCCGCGGGAAGCGTGGCGGCTTCTCAAAGATTTCTGGAGGCGATACGGCTCGACTTACTTGTACGGTTGCTCCCCCGTGTGGGTTCTCAGATGGCGCGTTAAGTTGGCCGATCTCGGGAAAATCTTCCCGCAGTATCTGAAAGGGAAATGGGGAGAAGAAAAAATTGAGATTCACGCGAAGCGTCGCATTCATTCTAACGTCGGCAAGAACGTGCGAATCGTAGGTAGGCCATTTAAGATGGTAATTTCATTTTATAGAGCGTCGCTCATGCAATTGCATCCCACAACGCTGCACATCAATTAGCCAGTGCCTTACATATATAATACAAAAACAAAACCCCACTACTTAGAAACTAAAAGATGAATACGCAAGTAATGAGATTTTAAAAAATGCACATGACAAGAAAATTATCATCACAGATTAAATTAATTCAAATAAATAAATCCGTTTGTTCTCCATACCCCAGACCACAATCCCAACATTTTGCCAGATTGAAGAGAACCTTCCCATGATGGGTGGTGGAGTGGCCAAACAGTTATGAGCCAGTTGGACCAAAAACTATAATAGGTCTCATAAATAATTTTCTAGAACTTGCCCTCCTGTTGTATTTTTTATTGTTTTGTTGTAGTAACATTCTGACCCGCCCCTACTGAACATCGGTGAAAACAAACATTCTCAGGTCAAATGGTAAACAATGTACGATTCCTCGCTGAGTGTCAAGACTCGCTTCCAGGAGGGTACCGCACATTTTTTCGCAGTAGACTGCAAAGCTGCTGTGTGTGATCCCAAATGAGTAATTTTTAAGGCAACATTGCCGAGTTTAAAATTCACAACGTAGTAGGAACGTCTCACCTCGTTATACAAAACGATGCTTGCTATGCGTGTAACTATGCATCGATTTATTGACCTAAAATTGATGCTCACAAATCTTGCATGTGAATAGCAATTATTTACAATGTTTGCAAATCGTATGGTAATGTTGCATTCGGGCGAATGGAGCCAACAAAACCGTAGAAACGAGACGAACCGAATAAAAACAAATATACAAACAGGACAGTCAGAGTGGACAAAAATTAATTGGTTCGCAAATCCAGCCGCGATCCCAGATTTATGACAACGCAATGAATCCCTGGTGGGAGTTGAAATCGTCGCGCGCCTCATGACACCATTCATAATAAAGGTTATTTGAGTTAGATCGCGTAAGTGTAAACGTGTCGTAACCCTCCACCACCAGAAACATTTATGCTTGCGCTATTCTAACCAAAAAAAACCCTTCATTATGAACAATACTGGTCGTGAAGAGCCTACGTGTTAAACCTCGTGATGCCGCACGCGATTCATTTCAGAACCCCCACACTCCACTGTGGGACTTTTTCGCAAGTGGCGTGAACTGCGGCTCGTCGAACACTGCTCGCTGCAGCAGTGGTGGTGGGGCACCCGCAGGAATCGTTAACGTTTGAAATCGCTGCTGTGAAAAAATAAGAATGGGTTTTTATCCTTTCTGGCAAAGTAAAACGGGTGGTGTTAAGATGTTCAAACACCAAAATAGATGCAAGGAATGACGTCTGTCTTAACCACACACAGTACTTGTGGTGAACATGCAAACAAACCATGCTCTGATATAAGCGTTGTCTTTGAAACTGATTGGCCTACACCAGCCATCTTCATGGCCTTGTCTCACCAGTGTCAGACCAGAGAACAACAAATGGTGAACAGTACAAAGACAATGCACTATCAGAGCATTTATAGCTTGGGGTGAGCAGCGATATCATGGGATACCTTTTTGCCAGTAGCAAAGTATGAAAAATAAGAATAGGTTTCACCTAAAACGCCTATTCTAAATTTTCATACTTTGATACTGGCAAAAAGGTTCCACGTTTGAAAACTCTCTTTGCATTGCACCACACGACGATGGTTTTCCCACATTAGCGGCTTTCGCGCGGTTTTATTTTTGGGCCCCCGCGCACGCACGCACGCACGCCGCTCCGAGACACCGCGGAATTTAAGCACTCACAGACGCAAATCCTCATCCTCGCGTGCCCACTGCGAAACCAGACCGGCTGCGTACGTGTGAACTCTTTTGGAAAATGGAAGAAGAAAAAAAAAATACCCAGGGCTATAACCCCCTTGGGGAGGTCCGCATTTTTTTTGCTGGTAACGTTTTGAGCTGTTGCGCGTGTTTTTTTTGTTTGTTTTAAACACGAACGTCGGCGGGTTCGACGCCGCTTTTTTGTCAAAACGTTGCAACGCTGGTTACGGCTCCCGCAGACGTTCACGGCGCGTCGGCTCCTGAAGCCACCCTCTCTCCCCCCGCCGCCCGCGGTGGTGCGTGGGCAGTTGCCGCCGAGCGTTACGCACCGTGCCGCCCTCCCCCCCACCCACCCCTAGATGTTTAGCGCGCGGAGAGGGGGGACTCTTCGTGCACACGACGCTGTTCTCGTGACTTGACAGCGATGCGCGATTATTCAAGTGAACCGTAGAATATGGACGGTGGCGGGGGAGGCGGCAGCGGCGAGAAGTGACACGGGCCTTAATCGAAAGTGACGGGCCAACTCCTGTCGCGCCCGACGAGCAAATAAACACAGGAAATTAGGCGCCGCATTAAACCAACGCGACCGCTATTGTGTGTATTATATTCTTGGTTCTTTCGGTAAAGTCACGTAGAAGGGAAACAATAAAATAATACAAATATAAAACAATAAAATTCTCACGACGTTTCGACTGCAACACAAGCAATCATCATCAGGTGACTTTACCGAAAGAACCAAGAATATGAATCCCTGCAGTCACGAAAGCTTTAAATCAAAATTGTGTGTATTGTTCATAAACATGGTTTTTATGGGCTAGATCGCGTAAATATAAATGTGTCGTTAACCCACCGTTACCCGATAGAGCCCAGTTAGTAAGGTTTCTCAAGTAAACAAAACCTGCCAATCAGTTATGATCTCAGCATACCGGTGTGTTGCAGAGTAAACTCGCAACGTTTACAACTTGAGTACAAAGTTTCGCTGGTGATTACAACCGGCTTCATCACACCATTTGCCAGCATTGTGAACAATACTGGTAGCTAAAGCCTGCTTGTTATACTGTATGTGTGTATAGTTTTTTTTAATTGGGATCGCCTATGCCAGGCCATAATCGGGATCGATGCACTCGTGCGTGCAATTATCGGGCTCGACAGTGCATAGTCCCATCCTGCCTTTCCCAAATCTGATTTCCTGCCGTCATAGTGGGCCTCTTGCCGTGAGATGAAGAATCCGTTCGTGCGTTAGCGAACGGCCCCATAGAAGACTTCGTAGAACTACTTCTGAGTTCGCTTTAAGGAACCCATTTCTATCCCCCCCCCCCCCCCATAACTGTTGCTGCACACTGACCGATCGATATACTTTTAATGTATAAGCTTTAATTTGACATGCACATTGTCTGCAGCAGATACAGTGGCCTGGGCTCAACAACAACAAAAAACGAACGCTGAATACAGCTAATCGATGGGCGTCGCAGCCTTGTACACATGCATGTTTGTTGAAATTCTTTCGCACCGTGCGTAGCCCGACCGTGCCGATCGGAGTTGCGGTGCAGTGGTACATACGTGGAACTTCTTTCACGCCGTGCGTGTGCGCGACAGCCAGAGCGGAACGCACGACAGACAAGCGTTTGGACCGCGTCGTCGCTCGTTCGGTCGAGCGTTCAAAAACTCCTCGGGGTACGCGTTGAGGGGGGGGGGGGATGGCGGCGGACAGTGCCCCATTGCTCGGCGCCTCACCTGCAGGTGTAGCGCTCTTTGCCCTTACGCAGGAGGCTGTCGGGCAGGCTGGGGGGCGGCTGGCGGAATCCGAACGCGTGCGGCGGCGGCTGCTGCTGCTGCTGCATGTGGCCGCTGCCGCCGTCCAGCTTCATGGCGCTGTAGCCTTCCAGTTTGTCGGCCATGTTCTCCATGGCCGCCATCTTGGCGGGAGGGAAAACCCACGGGAGGGGGATGGAGAAGCGACGGGGAAGAAGTCGGATTTATGTTTTTGTTTGGTCGTCATCGCCGTCGTCACAACACCACGCCGCCACCGGTAGCCCTCGTCATGTCGTTTTTGTGTTGCCCAATAGTCCCGAGGCAGAATCGGGATCTTTCTTTGGACTGGAAGGAAATCCCATGAGTTACGAAGCTCTCATTCGCAGATGTCCGGGCAGGGGGCTGGTCAGAAAGTTACAACAAACAAACGATCCAAAAATCGATAGGAGTGCTAGCAAGTCGCTAGCAATAAATACATATAATAAAACTGCATTAGTGCATCAATTGCTGCCACTTTTTTCAACACAAAATGCAAGCTTGGGCAAGGTGGCAAAACAAAAACAGTCTCAGACCAATAAAATGACGTTAAAATTGGTTAAGGATCAAGGCTGCAAATCACATTGGCAAATGTTCTATCCAGCACTAATCTGCTGCTTGAGGATCAATTTTTTTAAGGAATATTTAGGATTTTAAGGGAGGATGCGATTGAAAATAAAATATATTTTAGACTCTTGGTGTGGCTTTCCAGGGTAAATAAGTAAATAATAACAAGACAACGATGGGCATTCGTTAAGCACAAATGCTCATTGTCGTCACATTTTATTTTATTATAATGTGCAACTCACAAGGCAGCCCTTACTGTAATCCCAAAGCAACTTCAGTGATTGTATAAATACCAGACCAAAACATCTGCTTGTTCGCTATGTATAAATATACATTAATCTTACGAGTATACAGGAAAATTAACTTTGATTTATGTAGTCGTAAGATATAACAAAAAATAAAGTTTTTTTAAAGAATGCATCTATAAATATGCATACATAAAAAGTGCATTTCTTTCATTTATATCTTACAATGTAGATGAAAGTAATTTTTCTTGTATAGATGTGAGATACACGCTATTTTTAGTCGTGTATTTCTAGGATCACTGACGTTGCTGTGAGATTACACAATGAGGGCTATCTTGTGACTTTCATGGTTATTTCACATTATTTCTATATTTATAAATATATATATGGGCGGGGGTTGGTGGGCGGGGGTGGGGTTGGTGGGCGGGGGGGGGGTTGGTGGGCGGGGGGGGGGGTTGGTGGGCGGGGCGGGGTTTGGTGGGCGGCGGGGGCGGGGTTTGGTGGGCGGCGGGGGCGGGGTTTGGTGGGCGGCGGGGGCGGGGTTTGGTGGGCGGCGGGGTGGGGGGGAGGGCTAAACGTGATCTCCCGCTCTCGGCGGCGACCGCCCGACCAAAAGATTCGTGGGCCCCCCGACAAATAAAGACGGGAAGCGCTTGGCGATGGCGCGCATTGTTTCCCGGCGCACGAGACCGCCCCGCCGGCATTGTTGTCGGAACAATAAACGACGACGGCGGCGACGACGCCGACGACGACGAGCGGCGAGATTTGTCTCGTTGGCGTTTACCCTCGAAATCCGAAAAACAAGCTGCGGCTCGTCCGATCGGCGGCTCAATTTGGTCCGAGATAATGAAAAGAATGCTCTGCCGTTTTACGTCGCCCCGAGTCTTAACTGATGGACGATTGTCGGTAGCGTCGCGCCCGTTTATTAAATTAACGCTGACCACCACCCCCCCCTCCAGCAACTCCCTTCCACGAATTGAATCGCGGCTTTCTGCGCTGCGTTGCTGCTGCTGCTTTGTGTATTTTGCATCGCGCGTGTACATGTTTCGCTTTGCAGACGAAGAGTCACATTGTTGGAAAACACGTGGGTCAAGCCCATCCTTAAAAGACCCCAAAACAGCGGTAATAAGTATATACTACACACCTACATGGCAAGAGGTGAAAATTTGCAATCGGATTGCTTTGACAGCGGGCAATTTAACGCAAGCGCTCTAAACTTTTACCGTTTGCCATTACAGGATCCCGTAATGCATCTTAAATGCCATTATTGCTAGATATCAACAGTGGCCTTCCGATGGAAATACTGTCGCCCTTGCCAAGTGAATGTGTCATTTTGACCACTGGCTCAAATTGGTCCATACGTATATGATATTTCTATTTTGAGGATGAAGACTACAATATTTATTTTTTGACAGGGGGACAACTCTCATGTTGCCAAGTAGCCTCAGTGTCTTTAAGCCCCCCCGAGAATCCAAAATGAATCTCAGCACCCCGCAACAGTTGGGTACTCTCTTGATTTGAAGATTTCGTGACTGCAGGAATTCATACTCTTTGGTTCTTTCGGTAAAGTCACATAAATAACTATTCGTTATTTTGCTATCTACGTGACTTTACCGAAAGAACCAAAGAGGATAGTTGGGTACTGCACAAAGGCAAAAAGGTCATCCTATAGCCTGAACAGATTGTTGGGGCACGTGCTGTTGGCGTGCACCTATGAAGGCCCGCACGGCACACGGGGGGGGGCGATGTGACCAGCACCACGCCCAGCCACCTTATTTCTCCCCAGCACTGCAAGAGGTTATTTTAAATCGTGAGTCGACCAAGGGGGAGGCCGAAGACTGGTTCAGATGATCATCGCCGATGTCGGCAATGGTGAGGGAATCGAACTTGGGATGGTATCGCCAACGTTGGTCCCGATATCGCGTGTTTAATGGGGGGGGGGGGGCGGGCGACCAGTGCGTTGAAGTATGGCGTTGCGCCCCTCCCCCCTCCCGGGCGGTTGCGACGTGGCACTGTGGCAATAAACGCACCTGCGGGTGGAAGAGCAGGCTCGGAATTGGCCTCATGTACTTCTCCTTCAGAGAGGACATGGGGTCGTCCATTTTCCTCTTCTCCACCCTGGAAATGAAAGCCGGCCAGGTAAGGTGGAGCGCCGTCGGTCAGGCGCGAGCGAAACGACAGAACAAAGCGAGACGGCCGAGCGAGCGAGCGAGCGCGTGCGGGCGGGCGTGCACGCGCGAATACGTTGGCACAGGGGCGATCCATTTGTAGACGCCCCGCGGATCTGTACTCGAAAACGTTCACGTCGAGTTTTCAAAACGGCACTCGACAGATGAGCAATGGGAAAGCTCGCGCGGACGCGTGCACACCGTTGCCCACTGTTGCGCAGCACTGCCGACGGCCGAGTTGCACGCGTTTCGATATGCGTGTGCACATACGAGGGTGATCCGTTTTAACACGTAGGAGGCTTTCACGAACCCGATATTAACTCCCCCACCACCCGACACAGCCGATTGGTGAAGTTTGTCATGTAAACGGAAAAAAATCAGGCGACAGCCAGTTGTAATCACTGGCGAAACGTCATACTCAGATTGTAAATGGTGGGGGTTTACTCTCCAACGCACCGGTGTGCTGTACTAGTAACGCATTGGCATGTTCTGTTAACGTGACAAACCTTATTAACTGGCTGTGTCGGGTGGTGGTGGGTTTAACGACACACGTATATTCATGCGATCTAACCCATGAAAAAAACTATCGTGGACAAGGTGATTCATTTGCAGATATCCCACCGATTCGAATGCCACTCTCAAGTGTTTGCTAAAGCGATGGCTCCGTACCTTGTGGAGTTTCTTACAAATTATATTCGCGGCGTATCTACAAATGTATCGGCATGTGTACGCACTTGCATATCAATATACTACGCACAAACATGGATTCATTTGCAAATATTGTCGGTCAGATGTAAACCTCTGCAAAGAAGAGTTGCGTGTACTCCACAGAGGTAGGTAGGTAGGTCAGTAGTTGGGTTTGTGGGTGGGTATGATCGGTGAGCAGGTAAGGGAGGAGGGTTGTGCGAGTATGCAGGTGGGTAGGTAGGTTCTTATTTTGCGAGATTATACACACACCTCAGTAGGCCGCACCTGTATATAGGGTCAAGAAAGAAGGGGTTGAGATGAGCAAAAGGAATTGACGAACGCTGATGCATCTGCTGCTGCTGCTGATGATGCTGCTGTTGTAGCTGCTGCTGATGCTGCTGTTGTTGCTGCTGCTGGTGATGATGATGCTGCTGCTGCTGGTGATGATGATGGTGCTGCTGCTGCTGCTGCTGATGATGGTGCTGCTGCTGTTGGTGGTGATGGTGGTGCGACCGCTGGTGGCGCACGTGACCGGGCGCGTGCCCGACTTTGGGCCCGTCGCTTGGCAGCTTTTGCTTGCCGCCTCCGAACATGTGGTTGAGGCTCTTCCTGGCCACCTCCGACGACGAGGAAGACGAGGAGGAGGCCACGGCCGCGGCCGCGGCGGCGGCGGCGGCCGCCGAGTGCGGGAGCATCGGGTGCGGGGGGAGGCAGCAGCCCCCCTGCGCTCCCCTCGTCCGTCCGCCGGTGCTGAGGTCGAGCGGCTGGTCGTCCCGCTGATGCGCGGCGGGGGGCCGCGCCGGCGCCGGCTTTGACGCTGGCGCCGGCGGCTGCCTGGCCTCGTCCTTGCGCTTGGCCGCCACGCTCAGGTCGAAGGGCGAGCCGGCGTCGGCCTCCGCCGGCACGCTCTTGCCGTGCGCCCTCTCGGTGGGGGACGGCGACTTGGGCTCCGTCTTGACGACGACGGCGGCGGCGGCGGCGGCGGGCGGAGGAGGGGCGGCGGCGGCGGCGACGGCGGCGGCCGCCTTCGGCTCGGCGATGGGGAACACGGGGTGCGGCAGCGGCGACACGAAGGGGAACGAGAACATGGGCGTGTAGGGGAAGGCTCGGAGCTGCTTCTCCGGCATGCCCATGAACCCGGGGCCGAAGTACTTCTCCGCTATCGAAGCGATCGCCTTGATCGAGTCGTTGGTCGAGTCGGACCCGTTGTTGTCATCCGCCGGCGGTGGCAGAAACGCCAGGTGATTGTTCTGCGGCATTCTGGCCGCCACGGAGCCGCCGGCGCCGCCGGCGCCACCGCCGCCGCCGCCGCCGCCGTTGGTGAGGGCGGGCGAGTCCCCCTGCTTGGAGCCCTGCGCGCCGTTCACGGGGTTCTTCCTCTTGGTCTTCTCCTTGTCGCTGTCGCTGTCCGCCTCCGAGCCGGTGCTCGTCTGCAGGTCGTCGCTCCCCATGGGCGTGCTGGTGGCCTCCAGGTCGGAGCCGTCCGACACCTCGCTGCCCTTGTCGTTGAGCTTCTCGCGGGGGGACCTCTCCGTCCTCCCGGCGCCGTCGCCGCCGTCGCCGCCGCCGCCGCCGCGCTCCTCGGAGCGAGCGTGCTGCGGGCGCGCCGGCGCTGAGAGCAGAGCGGACGACACGCTGCCGCCGCCGCCGCCGCCGCCGTGGTGGTGGTGGTGCGAGGCTGCCAGCGACAGCCCCGCCGCCGAGGCGGCCGCGCCCGGGTGGAGCATGGCGTGCGCCACGGGCGCCGCCAGCTTGGCCGCGTCGCCGCCCGCCTGCATCATGGCGCCCGTCGGCGGGAGCATGGGCGGCCGGGCGTAGAGGGGCGACGGGAAGAGGCCCGCGAAGCTCTGCGCCAGCGAGAAGCTCGGCTGCATGCCGCCGGCGCCTGGGAAGCCCGGCAGCCCCGAGTGGTGGTGGTGGTGGTGGTGGTGGCGGCTCGGCCCGAAGTAGCTGTTGAGAGAGGGCGTCACGCCGTGGTTCCTGAGCATGGCCGACGCGGCCTTGTCGAGGGACGGGCCGAGCGACGAACCCTGCGGGAAGATGGCGGCGGCGGCGGCCGCGGCGGCGGCGGCCGACATGGCGAAGTGGTTTTTCCCCTCGCAGAAGCGCCGGTGCTTGTTGAGCGACGAGGTGGTGCTGAAGAGCTGCCCGCAGTCCTTGCACTTGATCTGCGTGCGGCAGTCGGCGTGCATGCGCTTGTGCCGGCAAAGGTTCGAGAACTGCGTGTAGGACTTGTGGCAAACTTCGCCTGCACGGGGGGGAGAGAGACGAGGTCGGTGGGGGGGGGGGAGCAAAGCGAAAGCACAGGGATGAGCGGCTGGCCCCCAGATAACGGTGAAATAATATTAAAGTGCACACTTGTTGCTCCCCGCCTTTTATTTTTCGCCTGGCTCTTGCAGTATGCACAGCTCTGAAAATCGAGCCTGGCGAGCTCATTGAGCCCTTCCTGTTGACAAAAAATGAAATCTAAAATCTATCGTCGGTGACGGAGCCTTCCGTGACCACCACCTTGGCGCCAAGCGACTTTGCAAGACAAAATTGAAATATATAAGCCTCGGTGCATTTCATGGCCGTGCTCAACAAGAAGAATGCCGACAAGAAGAATACGCTGTGGCGACAATCCGCGGGAACGCAGAATGCCGCGGCAGTGGCCGTTTACTTGCCGCGGTGGTGAGGCTTACACGTGAAGGGCTTGACGCTGCTGTGGATGTGCTTGTGCTGCTTGAGGCCGGACGAGGTGGCGAACGTCTTGCCGCACTCGGGGCAGGCATGCGCGCGTGCCCCCACGTGCTGCGAGCGGATGTGGCGCTGCAGGTTGCTGGGGTCCGTGAAAACCTTTTTGGTGGTGGGGGGGGGGGGGGAGAAAAAAGTTTCAAAAGTTACCAAAGTCTTCAGCGGGCGCTAGTTTTCGTTTGTTATTTGTCGGCGTTCTTTGTTGTTGACGACGACAGCTCTGCGCTTGGGTCCGTGCCCCCCCCCCCCCCCCCGTGCCCCCCCCCCCCCCGTGCCCGGGCCGGCTCGTGGGGTGCAGTGCAGCGTCGCCGCTCCTTTCTGACCACAATGCTTTTTTTTTTGCAAAAGTGCAGTTCCTCCCGCGTCGAGCCCGCATTGTGAAACGCGGAATACGAACGTCGTTACACATTGGCCCCGAAAGTTAAAATCTGTAACGGGCGACGTCTAAGCAAATTGCCCTTCTTCAAAGCGAGTTTTTCTTTTTGTGTAATAAATGGAGCATTGCACAGTTGTGGCGCAGAAACAGAAGCATTTGTAAGAAAATGAGACGGGACAATTGTGCTGTGAAGAAGTGACTTTGGCCATAGTTTTTTTTTTGCTACCAGTCAACCCTCGAATTCCTTCCATGGTCATCTTTCCTCTTTGCTTGCCTGGGTTCCAGTTCAAGAATGAACTGTTTTGGTTGTTATCCGTGCACTGCACGGTCTGATGGCAGTCACAGATATACAGGGTGTTTCAAAAAAAATGCTAACACTTACATGGGACTATCGGTATTGGTGCAAAATCTCAGAGGAGTTAACAAAACATTTGAAGCACCCTGTATTTGTGCTACGGAGATTTTTTGGAATTTGGGGAAGTCACTGTATGGGGAAATATTATTCAAAAGAGAATTGACTAAGGCTGTTGAAGCAGTGAGATTGTATTTGGAAGTGACAAAGCAAAGCAACGCCATCGTCATCAGCCAGAAGCTCGTATTAATCAAGGAAGAACGTGAGCTGCTGCATCCAGTTCCTGAAGAAACTTCCAGCACATGCAGCGAAACGTCGGACATTGTGCCGAACAAAACACAGCACAACGCGAAAACACGCGCGAGAGATCTACGGCCCAACTGCGTAAAACTTCCGCAGTAGTAAAGTGCACAAGTGTTATAATCTCCATCAACTTCGCGAAAATAATAATTTGCATTGTTTATCGAGGAATGCCTCACCGAGTCTCAAGACTCTCTGTTAGGAGGGTCCTGCCACATTGGTTGTTGGCCAATTCAACCGATGAGTATTTGACCTGTGGGAGGAAATCAAATGCCCCCCTCCCTACTTCACCAATCCACATTTACAAAAGTGGTGAAGTATGGTCAAACCCCCCCCCCCCCCCCATGATAGCATGCCATTGGGGAGGTCATAATTCGAAAGTTGAGAGCCAAGAGGCTTTATTATTACTATCATTATATTAATAGTACAAGTACATGACTTACAAATACTCCTCGAACATTAGCTTGGAACACCATTCATCACACATTTTTTTTACACACTCTATTACACTTGCAATGAAACAATTTTTTTTTGTAATCATCGCGGTAACGAGAGGCAGTTAGTCACCGCTGCAGACGCGTGCGTGCGTGTTTGTTTGCCGCAATCGGGAAAAGTCAACGGTGCAGTGCACACGTGCCGCATCCTCCCCCAGCTGGGCTGAAATCAAAAGAGTGTTTTAATTTCAGTTCGCATAAGTGGGACCACTGTCGCCAGCTGATTAATGTAGTGAAATCAAATATGTATCGACGTTCCTTACTACCGCCGCTATTATTATTATTATTTGTACTTCATTCGTCTCCTCCGACAGAGTGGGACAGGGGGAGTGCAGGAGAGGAGGTGGGGTGGGGTGAACCGTTTCAAACAGCCGCGAGTCGTCAAATAGCAACAAAAAAAAATTCCAAGCTTCGAGTACTTTCTCGAGTGGCCGTTTTATTTATTTAATTTGACAGCTGCGGGCGTCCCTCCCCACACCATGGCCATCATCTGTCCTCCTCGAGCCGAAACCAGCCGTGACTAAGGAGCGAGTCTGCCTGGGCCCCTCGAGTAAAAGCGTTCTCACGCTCTTCGACCGGGGCGAGCAGCGAGCGACTCGTCCCCGTCATCATCGTCGTTATCAATCTCCCCACTCTCCTCCGTGTTCTGACTCGACGCAGCGGAGTACTATTTGCTAATTAAAATAGCTTTTTTTTTTTAATCTCTACCGGGTAAGGCCCACCTGAGCTATCGAGCGCATTTTTTCAGAAGCGACCACACGTGGAAATTTACAGCGGCCAAAATTTTACGAATGCATGTTGATTCTAGATTTGGAGGGGGGAAAAAAAACAGGGGACTTGGAGAAAAATCCACGCGACCACGGAGAGAGAGATACGCACAATTCCAAATATGCAGGTATAAGGGTGGGGATCGAACCCACGACCTCCTGCATAAAAGTCGAGGGAGTTAACATCTCGCCAAAATCACAAACGACTAATAATAGAGTAGATTATTTGGTGACGCTGCTGCATTGGCAAGTGGTGCACAAGTAGAATTAGCAACAAAAAATTCAACAATTCGTCAATAACACTACAGCCTAAAAATGAAAAGGTATATAATAGGTGACGTTTCGAGCAATGGCCCTTCACAGCACACATGGAGGCCAGAGATAGAGTGAACAAGAAAGGAAAATGAGGTCCCATGTTGTAGAGTGAATAAGAGATGGAGAGAGCACTTTATATACAATGGGGCCTGATAAGAAATAAATTAGAAAGACAATCTCTTGATTCACGTAAGTTATGCAATTCCTGGGTCCAAGTTTCATTTCAACGAAATTATAAATTCCCACAATGCACTTGGGGATGAAAATAATAATAATAAGGGACGACGTGGATATGCATTTTATTTTAATGCATTTATTATGCTGGCGAAAGTGGACCAACTCCGTAGGTTTTGAAATAATAAAAGATTTTGATTTCAACACAACTGGGGGAGGAGGACAAGGGGCGCAATACATTGTTAAACTTCATCGCAGTAAAGAGTCCGTACCAAGTGACTAATTGCCTCACATTACTGCGATGATTACAAAATGTTTCTTTGCCATAATGTGCGCTGTGGAGTACTGCATATAAAAAACGAGTGATGATTACATGCGCGCAATGTGACGCTGGGCTTCTTTAGGCGGACAAAACTTGCGCCGCTCGGCTTCCTGCACTTTGATGCAAGGCGCGTTCGGACGCGGAGCATCGTTTGCGAGCGGCACACGGAGGAGGCGGAGTTGGGGTCGGTAGGGCGGGGGAGAGGGGGTGAGAGGGGAGGGAGCGGTGGTTCATCTTGGGGTCACGACCGAAGCTTTGGTCCACCGAGCAGGTGCTAAAGGTCAAGAGCCCTCTTCAACTGTCGGCCCTCCATTCCACCGCCTTTTGTGTTGGCGTGTGTGAAGATGCTCGCTGTTCACACCACGGCACCTCGACATTTGACGATCCATTTAAGGAGAAAGGAATAATAATAATGATTTGCAGCTTTTGTCAGTCCAATCGTGGGTTAAGGCCATGCCGTGCTGAAGTCGTGGGGGTTGTTTTGACTGTACTTCACCACGCTGGTCAAGTGTGGAGTTGGTGAAACGGGGCGGGCCAGGACCAGTTCAGTTGTCACTTGCCACTGATCTTAGCCGTGGTCGGGAAGCGATCTTGGGACTCGGCGAGTTTTATAGCGGAGTGCGCCAACACCGCCCTCCACCAGCAGTCCGTTAATGGGACGCTAAAAATGTTTTGGTGACGACAGCATCGTACATCGTCAAGCAGGGCTCGCCTTGAAGAAAGCCTTCAAGCTCGCTCGTAGTGGTTCATGTCTGGCAATCGTTTTTTCTCCACTTATTCGGACAATTCGGGACAGTTCCCGCTCGGGTTGCTGTTAGAACGAAAAACAAAAGAAAACTCACCACTACCTTGTCACAGTTTTCGCATTCGTAGCGCTTGTTGATGTCGTGCGACATCTGGTGCCTGATGAGGTTCGACTTCCAGTTGAACGCCTTGGGACACTGATCACACTTGTACTCCCGCTCCTCCGTGTGCATCTGCATGTGCTGCTCCAGCCTGGGACGGGGGGGGCCGCCGACAGGAAAACAAAAGACCCGCTGTGAGCCGAAGCACAAAACGTTGCCGCGTCGCTGCGGGATTGCGCTGGCTGCTGGGTTCATCCGAATCCTAAACTGAGCCGTAAAAACAAAACGATTGTTGTTTTTTTTGAGCTATGTACACTCTTTTTTAGAAGTGACCTGGCCCACAAATGATAGCTCAACAAAGTGGCTTATCACGCGGGCATTTATAGCAGCCGAATACTCTGAATGCACATTGATTCGGAAGTGTATTGGGAAAACCCGGACAAAAATCCACGCGATCACGGGGAGCACATGCAAACTCCAAATATACAGGGGTCAGGGTCAGGATCGAACCCATGACCTCCTGTATACCAGGAAAGGTAGTTAACATCTCGCCACCGTGCCACCCTCATCCAGTTGGCCAGGTGGTTCATGAGCCAGCACTGCTGATACATTCTGGGTTTGAATATGGGTTTCAGCCTGCCGTGTTTTAAATCGGGTTCTCAAGCGTATGAGGGCTGATGGTCCCAGCTTGTTTACAAATGACTGGCAACTTTTTTTTCCGAATGGATTGTGCAAATAACCACTTTTCTGGTGGCAGGGGAGCCTGGCACTGGGACCAAGACCACTTTGCATCTCCGCTGAAAATCGGTTACATTTGCAAAAAGGCCCCGGCTATCCAGACTGCCTTGGATCAGGTGCAATAGACTGGTTGAGCGGCAATGGTCAATTTGGAACGGTGATATGGCGCCAATTGGGTACGCTGCAATCGCAGAGCGGCTTAATTTCAGCTGGGTCTGGCCCGGGTCTGCCACCCGTAAAATATTTCCACATCCGGCACGCCACATCCAGCACACCGTCTCGCTACGGCTGCGGCTACGAGTCGCGTGCCTATTTAGCGCGGGCGCGTGAGTGAGCGCGTGCGTGCGTGCGTGCTCACAAGTACGCGTTGGGGTAGATGCGTTCACACTCCTTGCACTCGTGCAGGGGGCCCTCATTAGCCGAGCGCTCGGCCGCGGCGGCCGCGGCGGCCGCGGCGATGCGGTAGTCGTCGTGAAGCGCTGGGAACACGGACGCGGGCGACGTTGCGCCCGCGAGGCCGGCGGAGGCCAGGCCGTCGCTGCTGTCGCTCGCCGAGCTGCCGCCACCGCCGCCGCCGCCGCAGCCCAAGATGCAGCCGAACTGCTGGTGCTGCTTGAGGACCGTGTCGGACGGGCACAGCTCCTTGCAGTTGCCGCAGCGCAGCTGGCGCTCGTCTGCCACGCGCCGGGGCAAAGCGGGGGTCGCAGGTCAAGCTGGATCGTCGTCGGCCGTAGCGCGGCGCTTGAGCATGTTGGCAATTTTTTGTTGTCACCCTCTTTTGCTTTTTCCAAAGCGCCAAAGCGACGAGATTTGCGTGAGCGGCGTGCCAACTGTGCCCAATCTGGTTGGGGGATTGGCGCATTGTGGATGTCCCTTGGGTCACACGTTCCATCGCTGGATTTTAGTGAGTTGGTGGAGGGAGGAAGAGATGAGTTTGTACCGATCTCCTAGATAGTCTTTGCTTGAGCCATGATGATAATGATGATATCTATTAGGATTACGACAAAGATGATGAGGAAAATTGAAGAATAGTTTTTTAGCACGCTTGGCTAAGTACGGTGCGAAAGAAGTTATACTATTAAATGCGTTAACATTACTTAGTGTTGCCCGAAACTTAGCGTTTTATGTTAATGTTCATATCTGTAAAACATTATTCTTGATATTTGAATCCACGTATTTCTGTGCTATAAAATGTTAAGGTGCAGCACTGTAAAACATTATCTCATGCCACTGCTGGCGGAAGGGTCTATTCCACGGTGATTGGGCGTCTTGGAAAGGGTAATCATATAATAATTATAAACTCTAATTTTCTACAGCGCAATTCCCGAAATGCCTCAAAGCGCTTAACATGTGTTTGTTTGTAAGCCTTCAGAAACGGGTGGTTGTTAAGATGCAATTTAGGAGATGCCCACAGTTCTGTGCCATTGCATTGCTGCCCTCACATTTGTGACCCTCTCAACTAGACTCTTCATCTCCAATTGGCCCAAAATATTTACTCCTGCTCACGACGGGCTGCACGGTGATACGCCACCCTCCCATAACATTTCAAAACCTAGACGTTACAGCGGCCATTTCCCACAGGGCTGGACCCACGCCGCGCGTTCTGCTCTCGTTTTAATGACCGACGGTCTGGCTGGCCGCTCCGTTGCTACATCCCTAAATCTGATAACGCGTTGCCCTTTTCGCACAATGGTGGCGGGCTGGCGGTGGGGGGGCGGACCTCCACCTCGTCGCCACATTGTCGCGTTCACCTTGGCCCCACGATGTTGTCCCGACTGACCGACCCGGCCCCCCCACCATTGGCCACACGGCTTGCCGGCACAATCGGGGATACACCCACGGGTTTTTTTTCAATTCCTGCCTCTCTCTCCGCTGGCTCTCGCACGGCCGGGCTCGCGAAATACACAATGGGCGTGCGGCACGTGAGACTGAGACGCGCCCACACCTACGCGCACGCGACGGGAGCATGGTGCGGTCGCTGGGAAGGCGTTCCGCCCACACAAATTGGGGACCCCACCCCCTCAAAAATTCCCCCTCAAACTGAATTAGACGGACTGACCGAGATGCCCCAGGTGGGCGTCAGCGGAGATGGGTGGAGGTGTGGAGTTCCCACCAGAAGTGCAACTACCTATTTCAATGGGGGTGGTATGCAGGATAGCGCTGTGCCCCCCCCTCCTCTCCTTTCTCCCGACTCACTTTTACTGAAATGGCTACAGATTATTTAACCCGCACGCTATAACTGTGTAGTACTTTAGCGCACCGTGCATTGGGCTTAGAGGGAGGCAGTGGCACGGCGACCGTATTAATAAAAACATTGAAAGGCGCAATGCTTGCGATTAACTTATCGTGCGTCTTACTTTCACCCCGGTCCCATCGGTCCACGATTTCCTCAAAGGGGGCGGATCGCGCCACTTTATTCTGCTCTATTGATACTACGAGAGCCACAGAGGCGTGAATCGCGCTTGGTCTGCGGTAGACCGCGGGTAATTTTTCGTGAACACCTTTCGTTTTTTCCATGAATTTTGTTTACATTTGTTCACTTGTTTTATCCGTTGATTCGTGGCCGGCTGGGCCCCCTCTGAGTCGCATAATGCTGCCACATGCCCCCACCCCACCGCCCCCCCACCCCCCACACCCCACCCCATAGTTGCGCCCCTGGTTCCCACCTCTCCCGGAGATACCAAGCGATCTGGGAAATATCACGGGGAAGACGAACGTGGGAAATTGGTGGCGGCGGCGGTTGCGGTGGGATGATCGGGGCCAGGTGTGCAGAGTGCCGTGACCACGGTGCAACATGGGGACCCGCAGCGGTGGCGCTGGTGAACGATCGGGGGGAGGAGGGTGGCGGCGGCGGCGGCGGCGGCCGCGGCGGTGAGTTTGCGGTGCATGGGAAGTTAAGAGCGCGTGAGGGTAGAAGCGGGTACCATCAGAAATCCCACCCTGGGACAGGGGCTCGGTGCTGGGTGCCATTGCCTGGTGCTCCACGCCTTCCTCCTGCATGCACAGCAGCAGCTCCTCGCCGGCCTCGATGTCCCTGATCGCCTTGTAGTAAACCTGCACGGGCACACGCGGCGGCCACCGCAAACACCGCGCGTCATTTACGCGACGGGAGGGTCGGAGGTCCCCGAGTTATTACCGGTCGGGGCCGGCCGCACGGCCGGCCGGCGGCAATCTGCGTCGTTATTAATGCGTTCGCGCTGCTCCCTCGGCCCCGACACCTCCGCCACGCCTGCTGCTGCCACCGCCGCTGCCTGCGAGGTGGGCGGTGGGGGGAGGGGGGCACTGATTTATCGTGGCAGAGATGGGGGGGGGGCGTCTGTTCCGCCGTCGCCCGAGAGGGAGAGAGAGAGAGACGCCAACGTCGGGAGCGGCTGGCAGCGGCGGTGACTTGACGCGCGTCTATATACCCGAGTTCCGATCGTGAGCACCTCTGATTAGCACGGTTGGCTTACATACGATGCGAAAGAAGTTATACATACGTAAGTGAGCGATTGTAGCCAGCGTATGCACTTAATGTTGCTGTGCTTGTGTGTGTACCTGGAGTGGTAGTGTAGCCCTTGGAGCGCTGCACTAAGAAAGAGTTCGATTCCAGCTCACGGCCAACACCAAGTTACGGTTATCTCAACCGGTCCTGGGCCTCCCCTAGGTCGACTCAGCCTCAAATTACTACCTGGTGCAGTGTGTAAACATCGCCACTGGGGAGACAAAGGCGGCCGGGAGTGGTGTTGGCCACCCACTCCATCCTGTGCCATTCCGGCCTTCACAGGTGCTCGCTGACAGCACTTGCCCCAACAGGCTGTTAAGGCTATACGGAGGATCTTTGTGTATACCTGCACATGTGCGTGCTGTACACACAGCAGACAACGGTATAACGCACTCCATCACAACACACGCTACCATAACGCACATCGATATAACTACGGCGAGCATACGGACTTCATGTGTGCGTCGCGTCTCCCTGCACTTGACATCCCACAGACACGTGGCGTGCAGCACAGACGATGTACATAAACGGCACGCTTCATCACAACGTATACCCCCCAAAGCACCCGTCGCAGGTACGCATCATTACGGCTCGCACAATCGTAGCACATCGCCGTAATTTATAGTGAGAGCATGCGCTTCGTGTTTTAACCGTAGAATCAACACGCGCAGCTGCTTCCACGTAGCGAGCGGCTGTTTTCGCAAATCAATGCCAATGCATCTCTCTCTCGCTCTTCGCCGCCGCCGCGTGAACCATTGGTCAAATAACTTTTTGGTGTTTTGATTAATTTCCAAGTTGCCAAACCCGACCCGTTTTGGGCCAGCGCAACTCTCTCCAAAAATTACAATCAACAAAGCTGTGCCACTTTTAACTCCCTCCCCCCCCACTCCCCCACCACCACCCGAGGCAGCATTGGCCAGAAATTATTCCTTGAAATAGGGCCCACGGCCATTATGGGGAACAAGAAAAATCGGCCCCGTTTGCTGACACTCACAGGGCTCCCCCTTTCCCCGTGTGCCTGACTTGGTTTTGCCAGGCCCCGCGGTGCTCCGACTCACCCGCGGGCGCGCCTGCCCGTTGGCTTTTCACCGCGGTTAATAATTATTGCTCACGAAGCTTTAATGGCGAAACTATTTGTCGACGATTTTCTTCTTGTTGTTGCTTTACCTCGGTCGAGTCCGACGATTGCCCCCGCGGGGCGCCGCCCGCCTGGCGATGCGAAACGAACCGAGTCCGAATGACAGACGCGGTCTGAGATGGTTCGGTTTTACGTTATCAGAAGCTGCAAAGTGCCATGAGGAAGGACCACATCTGGCAATTAGCTATGTGCGTACAGTATATAAACATTATTTACCCAAGTTCATAGATTTGGCTGGGGGGGGGGGGGAATTCCAATACCACACCAAAATGGTCTGTTTGAGTTAATGTTTGCCCGCTTTGGCTGACCACAATTGAATCACTCAACAAGAAGAGACCCGATTAGAACATGACTGCAATTTCACAGATTTCCGTCGAACCAGACTGAGTGACTAGAATACATGAAAGAACACCGACCGGAATTTAATACTGTGGCTTTTTAGCGCGAGAGAGAGAGCCCCCTGGTACCCTGGAAGACGCGTCCCCCACTAGGTGTCACCATTGCCACGCGCTCCGCACATTTATTCCGAAAGAACCATTTTTGTACCGGCTCATCAGTCATAGCGAGCACCGGTTCAGAGAGAGAGAGAGAGTCTCTTGATCGTACAGCGCTCGCCATAACAAAAAAAAAACCCACACCATAAAATGCCTCCCTCCCTCCCCTCCCGAAATTAATGACTGCGTCGGAGAAAAGTTACAAAAGAAGCATTTTTCACGCAAAAAAAGTTCCGAGTTTCCAGACGCGAATTGTACTCGAGTGGCCACAGTGTCCCCTTTGGATTAATTTGCAGATATTTCCTGTGCTAGACTTTGCCTTTGGCACTCTTCAACCACAGGCTGCGTCGGACCCCCCTTTACAAATCGTTGGTTTCCTATCTCGTCACTTCCAACATGAAAGCAGTAATATATATTTGTTTCTATGTTTTACTCTTTCTGAGCGCCTCGGATATTTGTTCAAGAAATGACTTTGTGAAACCGCACAAATTGAAAGGAAGTCAACCACGAAATAAGTAATGGGGAAAGTGTTTTTTTTTCTCTACCAAATTGGTTCACTCATTGTTAAGGGCACCACAATGTGTGCCGCTGGAGTTTCCAATGCTCGACTCGGCCTTTGGAATATCTCATTTTAATGGGGTCGTTGAAACACGTCGGATTTAACCTGCGCGCCTAATGGATAGGATTCAACGTTGTGCATTAACTTTCAGATGCTTCAAACAAAACAAAAACGTGTAACAAGTATGATTTGTAATGAGGGCTTCGGTTTTGTTTCCTCCCTTGATACTGTCGGGCTTGCTGGTAAGACATGGAAGGCTGGTATGTGACTCGTAACCACAACACACAGGAAGCAAGAAGGACCCCATCCAGCAGTGGATATACCATTGACTGGGGGAGGGGAGGGAGGGTATGGACGGACGGATGGTTACTTCCAAAGGACGTGCGTGTTTACCAGGAATATAATATGAACATGTTTGCGTAGACAAGTCCAAATTAGATTTTTTTTTTATATTGTTTACCGGCAACTCTTGTACCCATGGTAAAACGCAGGAAGGCGAGCAGAATCAATGATATAGAACGCATAGGGAAAGAACCAGGAACGGGAAAGGGAAGTGAGAAAAAGAGGAGGAGAGGATCGGAAATGAGAGGAAAAGGATGGAGAAGGAGCGGAGAAATGGGACTAAAGGGTCAGAGGAGATGAGGATCGGGAGGAAGAGGCTGCGTCGGGGCCTTTGACGTCGCTGCTACACGGAGCGACGTCTGTTTAAAACATGTTCATGTGGATTAGAAGGATATATGGGAGCATTATTGTATAGGATTTCTCATGGATAGGCACGCTCGTGTACACCGATGATCGCTACTCCAAGCCGGCCTACCAGCATTCCAGAAAATATATGGGGTGAGAAATTCAATCCCAGAGTGTGCACCATAAGCCTGGAACATCTTACCTTTGGACAACAATGTTACACTCTTATCCCGCTTCGAATTAATATGCAAATGTGTAAATTGCTATTGTTGTTTATCAGTACAATGTTAGAATAATTACCTCTGCACGTGTTGTCAAGGTCCCTGTTATCAGCAAAACTTATTCAAACGGACGTGCTTATTATGGGTTCGATGCAGCAGATAGTTAACCTTTACAAGTATTTAAAACCAGATTAGATCCAATTGAGACACTTTTTCAAGGTAGACATGACTGTTGCGAGAAAAGTATTATTAACAAACGTAAAACATGGGTAATAATAAGTCACGGCTCTTTGCCAATCCAAATCTGGTCTAGGCCACCCCACGCCGTATCTATTTGTCGGTCGCGAGGGTTTCTTTTACCATACTTCACCACTCTGGTGGTTTAGTGTGGGTTGGTGAAGAAGGGTGGGGAATGGTCGATGATGACCGGCTCCGTTAAAGACTCCTCTGTGGTGTTAGCCGTGGCCCCGGAATCGAACTCAGGTCTAGCTGGGCTGCATAGGTGAACGTGAACGCGCCAATGTAACGACCCCCCCCCCCGCCACCACCACGCAAAGTACGACAGTACTCTTAAATAGTGTCTGCATGTCGAAGAAGCTCCGTGATGTTTGCGTGACAGTCTGACGACCACGACAGACCGACATGGCTTGGGTGTTGTGCCTTCGTGCACTTTACGAATCTCTGATAAGATGGAGGCATGGGGGGCAGAGCGGGCGGGGGGGGGCACAGCGGGGGGGGGCACAGCAGGGGGGATGGGGGCAAAGCGGGGCGGGGGAGGGGGCAAAGCGGGGGGGGGCAAAGCGGGGGTGGGGAGAGGGGGGGTGGGGGCAAAGCGGGGAGGGGGAGGGGACAAAGAGGGGGGGGGTGGGGGCAAAGCGAGAGGGGGGGTACTTTTGGGGCGAGAGGGGGAACGGAAATTGGCTCAAACCAGCCCGGCGTGCAACGAAGGGCTAATGGCTTAACACAACAATAATAACATTAATCGCGCTTGAGAGCTTTAGAAGAAGAAGAGAGAGAGGCCTGGCGCAACACCGAACACACGCACGCGCGCGCACCCTCTCGCTTAACAATCACGCGGGCTCGCTGAACACTACTTTCGCGTGTTACCTTGACTGGTCGCGTTCAGCGCGGGCCGGTAACAACTGGCTCTGCGGAGTAACCACGAAAGAGGCAGGGAGAGGGGGGTTGGCTGCGTTCACGAAAGTGTTGCCGGCACACCAACTCCTGAGCCGCTTCGAAATCCCGAACGGAGTTCATTCGGTAGCACGTTTATTAACGAGCGCTCGCCCACAAGGGAAGGAGGCGTGGGGAGAGAGGCGGGTGGGGGTGGTGGTGGTCGCTGTCTCATCAAGAACCGCTGACTCGAGTCCTCCCTTCCGCTCTTCCTCTCTCGCGATGAACCGTATACCTCGAGCTGATTTAGCGCAGGATAACGCGCATCATCAGGGCGTCTCGTGCGTGCGTGTGTGCACGTTGGGACTTATTTCGCCCCCGCAGTTGTAGCCCGCGGGCAACCGCGCTAATCGGGAGGTGCCGTGGGCGGAAGGGCAACAAAATAGACTCGAAAAGCAGTTCTGTGAACAGTGTTTACAAAACGTGCATTGGCGTACGTTTCGTAAGCGTATTTGTGCGCATACATTTAGCGCCTATACTTCCAATATACACCTACTACGTATGATACAAAACATAATATACACAGTATAATAATCTAGCTCATTGCAGGTTCCCCCACAAAGCGAACGTTTTGTCCGCATGTTTGAAAATCGACCACACTTTCTGCTACGCGTCTTGTTTGAATGCGTAAAAGATAATAAGAACCGCGTAAATCGCAGCGCGCGTTGCAAGTGAGCGCATGTGTTTTGGGTACTGCTTCGCCACACTGCAGCTCACGAGAACGGGTTACTAACACTCTGCACGCATTCAACACGAGGCGCGTCTAACTCGCAGCCGGTCATCCCACGCGTGTCCTCGCTGCCTTTTACTTAACAAATGTGTTGAAACGCGTACGCTTCGCGCTGTTCAGACTCGTTTAATGTGCGATCAAAGCTGCTCAGAAGCTAAATATTTCTATTTCTTCCCCTTGTAAAACACTACACACACACACAGAGAAAGTCGCCGAAACACTCCAGCGGTTTCGCCCCCCCCCCCATTTATTTGCGTGTCTCTCCTGCGATAGCTTCACGTCGGGTTTGTTAGAACAGCTCCACGAATAATTACAAGAATTGACATCGAATTAACGACGATGGCGCCGCGTGAAAATGGACACGCGCGTTTTGCCGTGTCTCTGTTGAACCGGAGAAGCGAAAGAGACGCCAATTAGAATATCGCACCCGCGTCTCACGCGATCCCGAACGACACAGACCGGACCGGTAATTGCAATTCATGCCCTCTAGCCAAGAAACTGCCAAAATATATTTTTTGGGGTATTTTTTTTCGCTTCCCTCTTTTAACTGCCTGCTTCTCCACCCCATCATCATCATCACAACCCTTTGTAGTCACCGGTCACATTCGAAAAGAAAAGCCTGAAGACGGTCGCTTGTGTTGCGATCGAAACGTCGTGATCTAGTATTTTTTCAACCTACGTGCCTTTTACCGAAAGAACCAAAGAGTATAGAAAAACCATACCCTACCAAACTGTCACTTTTGGTTTTAATGCTCCATTCGTTGTATATTGAAATAATAACTTTTTGTTGTTGTTGAAGTGGGCATAAATCCGATGGGTGAATCGCAAGTAGTGAATTGGAGCGGCTATCCGGGGTTTTGTCAGTGTGTGTGTGTGTGTTCAGGTTACATGGGGCAAATAGTTCAAAGCGCCGATTATTTGTCCACAGACTTAGACGAGCGTCAAAACAACGTTGAAAATACCAAACATGTACATCATATATATACACACGCAAGTTATATACGTGTTGATACAAACAGTAATACACGACGGCACATTATACGTACTGCGATGTATACCGTTTGCACACGGCGTGTTCACACAGGCACACATGGCTTACACACGCCGGGGCTGTAGAGGCGTTGACACGCACGTTAACCCCCTATGCACAAAGGCGCACGGCATGGCAAGGCAATCCCATTTAGAAGCACGTATAAATGTAAATGTGCCATTTGTAATCCTTTTCCAATTTCTCAAGCTGTTCAACGCCGTATTCGCGAACATTCAAACGGCATGCTTCACCATTGCAACGTTGTGTCAACGTGAAACATCAACATTTAGTCACAGCGTATTATCTAGTCAAATCTTTAAATTATACTAAAGTTATCTTGTATATATATGAAAAAAATCATAAACCGCTCCAAACGTTCTACAAAAAATAAATATATATCAAGTCGCTATTATTATAAACACCACACCGCTCATTGCAGTATTAGTCACATAACGATTAAAACAGATGTACGGATTATTATGTTTACTACTGCAATTTGTATAATTAACCATCGTAAAGTATTGTTTAATCTGATTCTGTGTAATATCAGCAGTCACCTGTTATGTTATAAAATGTACGCTGTATACTGTATTTCAATAGTAGATGTTGGTTACATGGGGATAATCTGTGTAAAACTATGCAACTATAAATAAATCGAACCGCATAAAAATAACATCGATTATTTTTTAATATCCCCCCCCCTCACCTCGCATTCACGTGTAGTTGATTCACTTAACGCTTGCAGCCGCTAGAGGCCGCTACATCGCTACAATTCACGGCCGACGTGAAACGATAACGAATCGAATCGCTTACTCTGCATCGGGATAATTAAAATCGAGCAAAGCTCAACACGTTGGTCAATAACGCCGCATTAAAGGTGACAGTTATATAACACGCGACGTTTCGGGCAATGGCCCATCAATTATAATCGAATCGCTGGGTTGAAGTCGGGGGGGGGGGATGGGAGGGGTGAACACGCTGGCAGGAGTGAGTGCATTCACTACCGTAATCTCCAAATTACACGACACTACGCAAACTAACACCTCCCCCCTCCCACCACCACCTCCAAAAACAACGAGCGCGCGTCAAGTTACACACATCTGGTCACGTAGATATCCTCCTGTACGCGGTTAAGACGGTTGGTAGGACGCATCTCTAACAACGTTTGCTTCAAAAACACACACACACACACAACGGGAACGGGGTGTGTGTGTGTGTGTGGGGGTCGAAGGGAAAAGGTGTATCGTCCAATCGTGAGAATACGGTAGAATTGGGTGGGTGTGTGTGTGTTTTTTTTACCTTCTGATCAATCTCGACCGCTGCCAAGTTGGGCCTCCGTGTGGACGCGGCGAGCCTCACGTACTTGAGCCAGCTGCGCTCCTCGCTGTCCCCTGCCGAGCCTCTGCACGGCTCTCCCGCCGCGGAGCCGTCCTTGCCGCACACGCCAGACGGCCCGTCCAGTAGCTGTGGTGGCACGCGAGAGAGAGAGAGAGGTGGTGGTGGTGGAGGAGGGAGAGAGAGAGAGATGTGGGAGGGATTATTATTGTTGAGCTGTTTTCCCTCCCTCCCCTCCCTCCCCCGTTACTTTCGTGACCGAATCGACCAGCGGTGAAGACGGCTTCCTTCCACCGCTATCCCGGCTCACCCCCAGTGCGCAGTGGGCAAGCGACCGAGACGCCGATAACGCGGTTGGGACGACTTTTAGAAGCCGTTGTGGGCCACACATCAAGGGGGGGGGGGGTGACAGGGAGCGGTGGCGCTGTGGTTGAGCGCAACCGCGTGCTGAACTCGCAGACACACAGTTCGATTTTGTCAGTCACGGGCGTTGATGTCATTGGGTGACTTCTTAACACCGATCACTCCTCCCCACACCACCACCCTTCCCTTCCCTCCTCTTCAACCCACACTGACGCAAAACAATAAAAAAAAACAGTCCCCTTTGTACACGAGCTGTTACAGGCCTTCATCCAGCAGTGGATTGGGCGAAGGGGTTCAGCTCCACACCCAGTCAGACCGACTGGGTGAGAAGCGGAGGCACAGTGGCAAGCGGCACTGCACTCGCAACTCGGCCGGCTACCTGAGTTCGATCCCCGGTCACTGCCGTTAATAACATCCAGCAGTGGAGGGATAGAGGCTATACGCATTGTGTGACTGCATACGCTAAGAGGCATGCATAGACCATACACGTTGTAAACATTTGATGTTAAGTAAAGAATGAGTGTATGATAAATATAAATCGATATGTAGTATAAATTGCCAGCACTGGCTCAAAACGCCAAACGACCAGCAACAAGCGGCACTTGACTTTAGTGATAGGCGCGAGTTTATACATTTCTGTAATTGAGCAAAAATTATAATAACTTGAGAAAAGGTGGTGACGGGAAGGACTTGGGTCTAAGTCCGTTTAGGCCGGAGTCCTCAACAACACAGCTTAGAGGAATCCATGAGTGGACATTAGTTTTTTTTTGTGTACGTTTACACCATGAATATGAATCAAAACGCACGTCTTAACCAGGAACCCCGTATAGGTTGAGTGAAGCGGTGCAATGTACAATAAAAACGCAGCGGCTCACGATGGCCAACCATACTCCTCTCGGGGTGTTTTTTTGATTAAGTACTCGCTCAAACAGGAAACGACAAACACAACAGTTGTTATAAGAGACTTGCTCGGTAGCACTGCGTTACGTTGAAGCTGCTGCTGCTGCCCTCTGCAACAGCGATCGGGCGGCCGATATGAAAGCGCGCGTTTCAGCTGTTGGATCAGCTGATTCACGTATTTTTGTTGTTGTCGTGTTAAAGATACTGGGGTTCCATGCGTAGCGTGTGCTCCGGAAAGTAAGACGCACCCATCGCACAACCCACAAACTTGTTGTGTGTCCGATTTTCAAAGTTATTCCGGCGTCAACGTTAACCCGGATTATAAGACGCATCTTATATTCCGGATTATAAGACATTTCTCTCATTTATAACACGGATATTATAATTCGGAAAACGCGGCGTTTATCCGCTTTCCACGTACGCTACGAGTTTGATTCCTTACCCGAGGCTAATCACGGTGGCGTTAGAATTTGCTCGTTTGACTTTCTCATGCTCCTAGGTCGACTCAGCCTTAACTGAGTACCGGGTGCGCCAGGCTTATGTATCAGCACTGGTGAGACAAAGGCGGCAGGGAGTGGGTTGTGGCCCAGTGATCTCGGTGGTGTTTCGTACCGACCTTAATAGGAGCTCGCAAACAACGCTATAGCGTGAGAAGCGTTGCTGTTATACTGCTACATATATACAAAAGTTACCAATTATAGTCGTATCGGAACCAGCATTAATAGTGTAATTGTTTAAATATGTTTACATTTATACTTGGTAAATTGTAAAAAAAAAATCACGTAAAACCCAATACAGTTAAACTCATAAAAATTCGATATATACAGTCTACATTTTCTACGAATGAAATCTACACAGCTAAGAGATGTAATCATCCAGCAGTGGATTGCTTGTGGGTGATGCGTGTGATGACAATCCTTAAACGAAGACAAAGATTCCCCCCTTCTGGCCTTAAACAGGCTATGTGTAATAGTTAAACATAGTAAAGGCTTCAACACGCAGTTACTAACTCATTACTTACGACACAATCGTTTTTTTTTTTTACTACAGTCGGCGCCGTGCTCTGAGACCCGCAAGTTACAATGTGTCCAAGTGTTCCCGTTCAAGAAGACATTTCTCCTATACAATGTAACAATATTTCTACCCACTCCCAATGTTCTTTGTTTTTTTTGTTGGGGGGGGGGGGGGCGGGTGGAGGCAGGGAGCGGTTGTAATCATTTCATTAGCCCACATTTCTCCAGCCAAGTTGTAATAACGCTTTGTAATAACCAGTGGTTAGCTAGCTCGCTACCCAACAACAACACAATCGGGTGCATGCGTTCGGACTAAAAGCATAGCCGGTCGCTTGCGCCTTGCGAGATTGTAAGCATATATAAAGTATAAACAGTGCAGTATATATGTGCCCAGGAGTTTAATTTCCCACTCGATATATTGCAGAACGCTGCAAAATCTGCTGGCTTGGAGTTGGAATTATCGGCCTAAGGCACTACCGATATAGGATACAGTACATAAAATATACACTTATACATAACAAGTCCTATATTATGGAATCCTATACTCACATCATCCTATGAGTATGAAATATAAGTAACATGAGGACAAAATTAGGCGAAGTAGTTGCGTGCCAAAAAAATAATTCGGGAGCATTCTTCCGGGCTGTGCTTGATTAAATTAGGCGCTGTATATTTAGTCGGTTTGTCGTGCTTCTGTGGAGTGAGCGTGTTAATGAGTTCTTAATACGTATGTTGAACTTCTGTCGCACCGTACGTAAGCAAGCCGTGCTAAACGGAGGTGCGCTTGACTATATATTAAGGGGTGGGGGGGAGGGAGAGTGGTGGTTAAGACGCTGTGCTGTGAACCGGACAGCCTGGAGTTCGATTGATTCCCGTGCCAAGCTGAGATCGGTGACGGGTGATATCTGAACCAATTTATCTGGGCCACCACCATCACCTTACCCGTGCCGACCAGCGTTGTGAAGCATGGACGAACGACCACCTCCGACACCAAGTGGGAAAAAGGATCTCGACCCTTTTTGGCAATCCAGCGGTGGATTGGCAAAAAGGGTCGAGACTGTGCACATCATTGCATGAGATAAAACAAATATACACGCTGAATGCTTATAATAAGAACATCGAGCTTATTTATATTCGACTTTGTTGGGGCTCATCGGCAAGGGTCAGTCGGGGCATGTTTAATTATTGCAGTGGAGTTGTCGGGTGTTGTTGGTTAGAGCGCTCCTCGTACAAGGCGGGATCATTGAGACGCGAGAGATGTGTGTGTGTGTATCATTCGAGTTATCTTTATTGCAGTTTCCTATATATATAACAATTACGCGTATATTTATTTTTCCTGTTAAGCAAAGATAATGACAAATCTGTTGAGCGTATTTAATTTGCCATAATTCGTTGTTCTGCTTAATCTTTATACATGACAGTTATAGGTTGGTTTCGCATACGCGTGGTAATCTAGACTAAGTTAAAACGATTACAGCGTCACTGTGGCATGTGTGCTATGTGAAATTCAGCACACACACGTTGTGTCAGTGAAATGTTACTTCGGAACGAGACACTTTAAACATTAAACAGCCATTTATTATCCTATCTAATTATTTAGCAGTAGATTTTTCGTGTGTGGATTTTTTTTTTAAAAAAGATGCTGTACTGGCGTAACACACAGCAGTCGACTGAACAATATTCGTTGACCTATTTTTTGGCATGTGGTTTGCAATGCTTTTATGTATTTACAAACTTTAACACACGCCATATGCTCAGTAACACAAAAAAACAACAACTAGCGCAATCACAATTTGCCTTCCGTTGTGAAAAAAATTTCCCGACCACTTTGGTGCATGCGCGCGTGTGTGTGTAGATATATGCTTATGTATATTACAAAGTGATCCATTTAAAGATACTCCATTGGTTTCTCATGACACGTCCCGACTTCCACCTCGTTGACAGCCGAGTTAATATTGTGAAACGCGATGGATCCTGTATCTTTCGGGGGGTGGGGGGGAGGGGAAGAGAGTTAAAATATTTAAAGTGTGTATTGAGACGTGGTGGTGGGAGACGTGTAGAGGCTTCGCAATAAACATTCGCCTTCGCTACACGTAATTTCTGCTGGCTATTTAAGTGGGGTATCCGCACATGGATCAGCCCGTGTAATTGCATAACGGTTTATAATTGGACGGTAACTGAATTACATCACCGAACCTCGCAAGCCTGATTATAAAACAAATAATAGAATCATCGTCAGGGTATGTATATATGTACACACATTTTCTAAATGTTCTTAACACAGCAGGCTGGTGTGAGACGCAGTATATATAAACAGCTACATTTACGTGGCAATTCCGTTACCCCCCGTAATCACCGACTAATGTAAAATACGTTTTAAGTGGCTTTAATTGCGCTTGCGCGTGTGTCACTATATAATACATTACACACACATACGTATATACACATACGTAACCTCCGGATGTTCAAGAAGCACTTTGTATCTCATTGGGAAAGTGTTTGTGGGTGCGTCCTAACCCATAGTGTACGTGTGTGTGTGTGTGTCAAATCAAATGTGTACAACTGAATCGATACCGGGCACACGTGGTTTTTGAGGTGCGTCTTATAATCCGGGGAAGTTGTGGCGAGCAGAATACGTCAACGGGTACGGCACTGCAACATCGAATGCTGCATGCGCAGGTGACACAGCGTAGTTTATTGTCTTCAACCTACTGGCAGGGTAGGGGCAGTGGTTACATTCGCGCCTCGTAGCAAACAGCGCCTGGGTTCGATTCCCGACTTGGGTGCCTTTCTCACGTGTGTGGGAGTTTGTACGTTCCCCTCCCTGTTTTGCGTACGTTTCCTCCCATAGCT